TAGCGTCACTACCACTCCCGGTGTCAACAACAGGACATGTAACGTCACTACCACTCCCGTTGTCAACAATCCCGAAGTTGTACTTCAGCTTTTGGTCTCTTTATTATAATAATATTATAATATACAAGTGATACAGAAACAGGAATTATAAGGGAGAAAGCACTAAGCCAGGATGATTATATAGCTCTTTATTATATTATTATAATTATAATTCTATAGTTTATTATACAGAAATATTTCGTTTTACAGAAAAATACAGAAAATACACTTTATTATATGGAAACACAAGTAAATAATTATCAAAAGAAGGCGCCATGCCGGGAAGGACCTTGGGGCATATTGAGGAGTGTTCCAGAGACGCGACACAGGTCTGTGGAGGTGTTTACAAGATCCTCTCATTACTCTGGTGAACAACTTTACCATTCTCTGTTTGAGTGACTTTATAGGTCTAACTTCATCACTGTTGCTCATGTCGATGGGCTGTGTGTTCTGTTCGGAATGGACTTTTTCTATGGTTACAGGTCTAGCCATGCATCCGGTGATCGGCCTAACACCGGATAGAGCTTCATCCCTGGTGAGGATAAGGGTTGCTGTTGCGCTCCAAGACAGCTTTCTCTGCTGCGAAAGTTATATTGGTGTATTGGAGGATATCATCTCCGATTATGTACTCCTCGTCATAAGACTGCATGATGTACACATCTGTGTGGAATGTAAGACCTTGGAATTTTATTTCTGCGTTCCGAATAACGTGTTTTGTTCGTAATATTTTTCCGTGTAAATTTTCCACTTCTTCCATTGCACACGATTCAATTTTAAGGCCCAATTTTCTGGCACGACGTCTGCTGATGCTTGTTATGGGCGAGCCAGTGTCCAGAAAAGCCGTAGATCTCTTGCCGTTGATTTTGGTTTTGAGTCTGATTCTATCGTAGTTTGTGACAAAGTACTTCGTGTTATCCTCCAGCTTGTGCTTCTTCACTGGCCGCATTATTAGTCGGGGATTTGTCAGGTCATTAATTATTGAGCAGTTATGTGCAACTAAAATATCCATGCCCAGTAAGGCATCATGTACAGGTAAATCATCGACATAGATCTCTGCATCCAGGGATAAATGTGCTTTCCGGAAATAAGGTTTAGCTTTCAGGACCCCCGTGTAGAAGTTTGAGAAGTCCATTGACTTCCACTCGTTATCATTTATGTCTATGGACTCCATTTTATCTAAACGCTTAAAATCCTTGCCCATTACGGCCTCCAAGCCATGTTCCTACATAAAGGGAACCGTGACGAGGGTGTCGGGTGAGCCGCTGTCCACTAGGAAACGAACTCGTTGGCCTTCTAGCCGTAAAGATACAAATAATTCACAACCGACTCGGTCAAGAGGGACCGACACCTCTCTTGATGCTCGTTCCTTATGCCCCATTGTTCCTTGTAGGTTTTATACATAATTGTCGTTAGAAAACCTTACCTGATCTTATATCCGTGATACAATTTATTTAGTTAGGCGGTAATAGTGTTTAGTTAGGCTGCAATAGTGTTTAGTTAGAAATAATTAATATTGTTGTAATTCATATAACTGCCAGTAAAGTCGTCCAGGAGAGTGTCACTAGGTGGACCTGGGCCGCATAGTAGAGGTGATCCTCTAGGCTTGGTTGGTGCCTTTTGGTAATTTTTATTTTGAGTTTCTTTATACCCGAAAGAGCGGACCAGGAGCTGGAGTAGAACTTCATGGTGAGGATTCATGGTTATTGTCAACGGGAAGGGAGGGGGACAATCAAGAGAAAGCGCCAAGCCAACACGATTATACAGTATAGCACTCCCTGTTGTTGACAACGGGAGTGGTAGTGACGCTACATGTCCTGTTGTTAACAACGGGAGTGGTAGTGAAACGCTACGTGTCCTGTTGTTAAGAACGGGAGTGGTAGTGACCCTATGTCCTATGTTAACAACGGGAGTGGTAGTGACCTACATGTCCTGTTGTTAACAACGGGAGTGTTGTTGTTGTTAACAACGGGAGTGGTAGTGACGCTACGTGTCCTGTTGTTAACAACGGGAGTGGTAGTGACGCTACGTGTCCTGTTGTTGACAACGGGAGTGGTAGTGACGCTACGTGTCCGGGAGTGTAGTGACGCTAAATGTCCTGTTGTTAACAACGGGAGTGGTAGTGATGCTACGTGTCCTGTTGTTGACAACGGGAGTGGTAGTGAAGCTACGTGTCCTGTTGTTGACAACGGGAGTGGTAGTGACGCTACGTGTCCTGTTGTTGACAACGGGAGTGGTAGTGACGCTACGTGTACGTGGTAGTGACCCTGTTGTTGACAACGGGAGTGGTAGTGACGCTACGTGTCCTGTTGTTGACAACGGGAGTGGTAGTGAAGCTACGTGTCCTGTTGTTGACAACGGGAGTGGTAGTGACGCTACATGTCCTGTTGTTGACAACGGGAGTGGTAGTGACGCTACGTGTCCTGTTGTTGACAACGGGAGTGGTAGTGACGCTACGTGTTCTGTTGTTGACAACGGGAGTGGTAGTGACGCTACGTGTCCTGTTGTTGACAACGGGAGTGGTAGTGACGCTACGTGTTCTGTTGTTGACAACGGGAGTGTTAGTGACGCTACGTGTCCTGTTGTTGACAACGGGAGTGGTAGTGACGCTACATGTCCTACGTGTCCTGTTGTTGACAACGGGAGTGGTAGTGAAGCTACGTGTCCTGTTGTTGACAACGGGAGTGGTAGTGACGGTAGTGAGTGAGCTACGTGTCCTGTTGTTGACAACGGGAGTGGTAGTGAAGCTACGTGTCCTGTTGTTGACAACGGGAGTGGTGCTGAAGCTACGTGTCCTGTTGTTGACAACGGGAGTGGTAGTGACGCTACGTGTCCTGTTGTTGACAACGGGAGTGGTAGTGAAGCTACGTGTCCTGTTGTTGACAACGGGAGTGGTGCTGAAGCTACGTAGTTGTTGACAACGGGAGTGGTAGTGACGCTACGTGTCCTGTTGTTGACAACGGGAGTGGTAGTGACGACAAGTGTTGTTAACAACGTGTGGTAGTGACGCCTGTCTTGTTGACAACGGGAGTGGTAGTGAAGCTACGTGTCCTGTTGTTGACAACGGGAGTGGTAGTGACGCTACGTGTCCTGTTGTTGACAACGGGAGTGGTAGTGACGCTACGTGTCCTGTTGTTAACAACGGGAGTGGTAGTGACGATACGTGTCTGTTGTTGACAACGGGAGTGGTAGTGACGCTACGTGTCCTGTTGTTGACAACGGGAGTGGTAGTGACGCTACGTGTCCTGTTGTTGACAACGGGAGTGGTAGTGACGCTACGTGTCCTGTTGTTGACAACGGGAGTGGTAGTGACGCTACGTGTCCTGTTGTTGACAACGGGAGTGGTAGTGAACAACGGGAGTGGTACGTGTCCTGTTGTTGACAACGGGAGTGGTAGTGACGCTACGTGTAGTGACTGTTGTTGACAACGGGAGTGGTAGTGACGCTACGTGTCCTGTTGTTGACAACGGGAGTGGTAGTGAAGCTATGTGTCCTGTTGTTGACAACGGGAGTGGTAGCGACGCTACGTGTCCTGTTGTTGACAACTGGAGTGGTAGTGACGCTACGTGTCCTGTTGTTGACAACGGGAGTGGTAGTGAAGCTACGTGTCCTGTTGTTGACAACTGGAGTGGTAGTGACGCTACGTGTCCTGTTGTTGACAACGGGAGTGGTAGTGAAGCTACGTGTCCTGTTGTTGACAACGGGAGTGGTAGTGACGCTACGTGTCCTGTTGTTGACAACTGGAGTGGTAGTGAAGCTACGTGTCCTGTTGTTGACAACGGGAGTGGTAGTGAAGCTACGTGTCCTGTTGTTGACAACGGGAGTGGTAGCGACGCTACGTGTCCTGTTGTTGACAGTAGTAGAAACTTTTTATTTTGGTCACGGAAAATAGAAGCCTCAGCGGAACTTTTTATTTTGGTCACGGAAAATAGACGCCTTAGCAGCCCCCTTTTTTTTGGTCCCGGAAAATAGACACCGTATGAACCCTTTTTTCCCAGAGTTTTATTCTATTACATCCGTTTAAGACTAAATTATTTCAATATTCATATAATCTTATAAAAGTTAGAGCAAAGTCCGTTTTTTTTTATTAATACATTAAGTACATCTGCATTTGTGCAGCTGCCCTAGACTATATGAAGGGAAGTACAGTGTCAAAAAGCTAGCTACGTGATGTTAATTAAAAAATCCCCGTCGCACAAGATGGTTAGTCATACAGAGGCACGTGATAAGTAGTCTGCACTGACAAACTCTGGGTTCGTTATGAGGATATCATGAGTATAAGAGTAAATATGGCAGCAGTGATACTAAAAGTCCCCATCTCGCAGGATGGTTAGTCATACAGGGCCATATGTTCATTAGCCTGCACTGGGAAATTTTGGGTACACTGTGAGGATATCTTCAAGAATACGAGAGTGAGTAAAGTAATTGCAAAGCTTCCTTTTTACCCACCGGGGAGGAGGAAGGAGAGGAGCCAGGCTTACGCTTCTGACATAAGGAGACAGATGTCCCAGCAACTACGTACTGGGCAACGGATTCCAGCGTCTCAACAGAAGCTGAACGAGAATGGTACCTCATCCCAACTGGTCTGAAAGATCTAATAACCTGGACATTAGTGTGGGAGATCATGCCGCACGTACCGTCACTACTATTTATTTTTAATTAGTTTTCATTTTCAACTTACTGCCTATTTTGGCCATAGCGTATACGAAGAAATGCGACGTAATTTGTAAGACGGGTTAAACTAAACTAACATATATTACATTATTATGACTTTCTCTTAGGTAAATCTGTGGAAACTAACCCAACAATAAATGTATATATTAATAGGAATAAAGTATTTGAATTTGAATTAATAACTAATTAATGTAATAGCCTATTCTATAAAGTTTTAGTGGAAACTTATTTTAAACCAACATATCATTACAATATAATGATTAATAAAAATAAGTAAGAATTTGCACGAATATATTTGTATAATATACAAATTCTCTATCATACAACTTTTAAATAACGAACTTAGACAACGGATATCATCAGTTGGTCAGGAGACGCCAGGCGAGAAAGACGTGTCGACGTCAACTCCAACGCCATATTACTTCCACTGTCTTTACTCATCGTTACTTGTCACTAACGAGCAACTTGGATAAAATGCCGAAGGTATGTATTGAGTTATCTGAGCAATTTAGTGTAATCACTGAGGATGTCGCTAATTTTATTAATATATTCTTGAGTAGGGATCAACGTATGCTGCTGTCTTGCCGGCTTTTCTTAATTTTTCTTATTGTTACACCTTCCAAATTTTTAAGTTGTGCTGCTTCCTTGAGTCGTGGGGTTAAGATTGTTGATGAGTATGTTCCTCGTTTTTTCTTCGCATCTGTTAGTAGTTCAGCCTCAAGTGTGTCAGTGGTGATGACGTTTTGGTGTCTTCTGACTAATGAATGTCGTCCAGAAGCATCTCGATTTCAAGGCTTTTTATATGCTTGTATTTATGTATTTATATGACAAACACCTTACCCAAAGGGTGAGGTGTTTGTCACCTCACCTAAAACTTTTGTACCATATCACCTCATCCAATAGAGTATAAGTACGAAGAATTTGTGTGTAAATTAAGTCTTTGAAAATGTAATACGAATTACGAAACGCGTTCAGGCGTCAGACAATTAAAAAAATGAATTTCGGAGAATTGTTATTTTTATTACCTCCGACAGTGAAGAAAAACATAAGAAATATTGAGAAGATTCGTGTTAGAATTATTAATCTTACCTTTTCGGTCATATTCAACAACATATGTTTACAAGAAAGACTGCTACCAATATATATATATATATATATATATATATATATATATATATATATATATATATATATATATATATATATATATATATATATATATATATATATATATATATTTTAAATATAATGGAAGGGAGTACCACCTCTAGCTGGAAGAAGGGGGACCCATAGCCTCGGAGGAAACCACGCATAACGCATTAGAGGGAATGTTTGGATCCCCTCCAATACAGTTTCTGTGTGCTTTTCTCCTACCACCCCCTTCCTTTATATATATATATATATATATATATATATATATATATATATATATATATATATATATATATATATATATATATATATATATATATATATATATGTACCTAGTAGCCAGAACGCACTTCTCAGCCTACTATGCAAGGCCCAATTTGCCTAATAAGCCAAGTTTTCATGAATTAATTTTTCGACTACCTAACCTAACTTTTTCGGCTACCTACCTAACCTAACCTATAGAGATAGGTTAGGTTAGGTTTGGTCATATATCTACGTTAGTTTTAACTCCAATAAAAAAAAAATTGACCTCATACATAATGAAATGGGTAGCTTTATCATTTTATAAGAAAAAAAATTGAGAAAATATATTAATTCAGGAAACCTGTCTTATTAGGCAAATCGGGCCTTGCATAATAGGCCGAGAAGTGCATTATGGCTACTAGGTACGACATATATATATATATATATATATATATATATATATATATATATATATATATATATATATATATATATATATATATATATATATATATATTTTTGGTAGCAGTCTTTCCTGTAGACATATATTATTAAATATGACCGAAAAAGTAAGATTAATAATTCTAACACGAATTTTCTCAATCTTTCGTACATTTCTTTTCACTGTTGGAGGTAAATCAAAAATCAATTCTCCAAAATTCATTTTATTTCTAGTCTGACGCGACACGAGCGCGTTTCGTAAAACTTATTACATTTTCAAAGACTTTAGTTTACAAATACACAACTGAATAGAACTTACGCATCTCCGATTTTATATCTACATTTGAGAGAGGTGGATGGTGTGAGGTGGCATTAATAGGGTATTAATTTCATCAACACAAGACAGAACAAGAGGTGGCATTAATAGGGTATTAATTTCATTAACACAAGACAGAACACGAAACAATGGGTATTGAATAGAAGTGATTGTAGAAAGCCTATTGGTCCATATTTCTTGATGCTTCTATATTGGAGCGGAGTCTTGAGGTGGGTAGAATATAGTTGTGCGTTAATTGGCTGTTGATTGCTGGTGTTGACTTCTTGATGTGTAGTGCCTCGCAAACGTCAAGCCGCCTGCTATCGCTGTATCTATCGATGATTTCTGTGTTGTTTACTAGGATTTCTCTGGCGATGGTTTGGTTGTGGGAAGAGATTATATGTTCCTTAATGGAGCCCTGTTGCTTATGCATCGTTAAACGCCTAGAAAGAGATGTTGTTGTCTTGCCTATATACTGTTTTTTTTGGAGCTTACAGTCCCCAAGAGGTCATTTGAAGGCATAGACGACGTTAGTCTCTTTTAAAGCGTTCTGTTTTGTGTCTGGAGAGTTTCTCATGAGTAGGCTGGCCGTTTTTCTGGTTTTATAGTATATAAAATATACTATATAGTTACTATATAGTTTTATAGTATATAAAATATACTATATAGTTACTATAAAACCAGAAAAACGGCCAGCCTACTCATGAGAAACTCTCCAGACACAAAACAGAACGCTTTAAAAGAGACTAACGTCGTCTATGCCTTCAAATGCCCTCTTGGGGACTGTAAGCTCCAAAAAAACCAGTATATAGGCAAGACAACAACATCTCTTTCTAGGCGTTTAACGATGCATAAGCAACAGGGCTCCATTAAGGAACATATAATCTCTTCCCACAACCAAACCATCGCCAGAGAAATCCTAGTAAACAACACATAAATCATCGATAGATACAGCGATAGCAGGCGGCTTGACGTTTGCGAGGCACTACACATCAAGAAGTCAACACCAGCAATCAACAGCCAATTAATGCACAACTATATTCTACCCACCTCAAGACTCCGCTCCAATATAGAAGCATCAAGAAATATGGACCAATAGGCTTTCTACAATCACTTCTATTCAATACCCATTGTTTCGTGTTCTGTCTTGTGTTGATGAAATTAATACCCTATTAATGCCACCTCTTGTTCTGTCTTGTGTTGATGAAATTAATACCCTATTAATGCCACCTCACACCATCCACCTCTCTCAAATGTAGATATAAAATCGGAGATGCGTAAGTTCTATTCAGTTGTGTATTTGTAAACTAAAGTCTTTGAAAATGTAATAAGTTTTACGAAACGCGCTCGTGTCGCGTCAGACTAGAAATAAAAATGAATTTTGGAGAATTGATTTTTGATTTACCTCCAACAGTGAAAAGAAATGTACGAAAGATTGAGAAAATTCGTGTTAGAATTATTAATCTTACTTTTTCGATCATATTTAATAATAATATATATATATATATATATATATATATATATATATATATATATATATATATATATATATATATATATATATATATATATATATATATATATATATATATATATATATATATATATATATATATATATATATATATATATATATATATATATATATATATAGTGGTGAATATAAGTAAGTATATAAAGGCATAAAATTGAGCCTTTATGTCAGAATTTCTGTTATGTCTCAACCGTCATACAATTTGAGTATAACATTTCTAGTTATATTACATCTAGAATTTCGTGACTATTTCTGTGTTTGTACTAATTTTTTGTTTTTCTTTGCTTATAGAAAAAGGGAAAAAAGCAGCCAGAAGGGCGAATAGAACCCAAGAAGGCTGCTAAAGGTAAGCAAATAAGTGGTGCTGTCCGTCTTGGAACAAATCTTTGGTTCAAATGGGTGGGCACCATTCCTTTGCACCGTCCTAATATCACCTCCAAGTGCTATATAGTGGCTTAGTGCGGTCTTCTGATAATTATCTTAAATGCTCTTTAGGGGGTGGGAGGAGGTTTACAGCCTTGTGAACCCTAATATAAAAATTGTGTACATGTAAATAGTACAAAACCTAATTCTTAAATTTTAATCCTGATCTAAAACTCTTCTTTGATAGATGTAATAGAATCCTTGAGCACTACGCCAAAAATAAATCTATTTCATATTACTAAAGTCAGACCAAATCTCTGCAAACACTCAGTGCTAACACCATTACCTCCATCACTGCTGCCACCACCACCACTGATAATATAGGCACAATTGAAAACAGCACTACAGACAACACCAATACCATTGTCAGCGCCAACATATATCTATTTGAACAACACTTGAAATCAAAGAAAACTACAGTATATGTTAATTTCTTATATTACAAAATTACGGAGACTTATATATGGCAATTTAATATTGTTTGCAGAACCGTTAGACGTAATAGTGTTTAGTTTGTGAAGTTCCAAATTAACTCAATCACTAGATTATGTCAATCACAGTTGATTATGTCAACTTCCTCTGTAAATATAACAGGTTTTGGGTAGCGTGTTTTCCTTGTGGTTTTCTTTTAACTGTCTGTCATTCCATACACTGGCATACATTTCAGTGTATGGAATGTTTCCATTACACCCAAAATTAATTTAAATAATTTTAATTTCAGGAAGTGATTCACCCCACCTACTGGAACACCCATGTGAATCACAAAATACCCCTCACCGGCCACAACACCCCTCTGAATCAGTAAATACCCCCCACCTTCACCACCCATCCTTCTCCTCATCAAATTCATCATCACTCTCCCAAGAACCATCTTATTCGTCATCAAATTCATCACATCCCCATGAAGTATCATCCCTGTCATCAAATTCCTTCCAACCCGAAGATAAACGCATCCCACGATTTCACACCCCACGAAGACGCAACAGACAAAGTCACAAGCACACTGGACATAAAAAGTGCCAAATTAAGGGCAAACGCAAGCACAGACGCAGGCACTGAATAATAACTGAATAACTGAACAGAAAGTGTAGTTCTACCTTGCAACTACTAAACAACAAATGAGACGTTCATTATTATTGCACTTATAGACTTTAAATGTAAAGTGAGACCTAATTATGACATTAAACCTAAATAATGGATTGAGAGAAAGGATTACAAGTACATAGCAATGATACAGTTGTGTACATTATGCATAATTGAGAGGAATATGTTATAACCACTAAAGTATATATGTGGACCTTTGGTCAGTTTCTGTATAAGTTTAATCTTTTTTATTCAAAGTGAGAAAAGGAATTGACATTTAAACTTACAGTAACCATGGATTGATCCTTTAATATATGATATGCTTGATTCCAAGTTCTACCTTTTAATTATACGGATAAATGCACTCTTCGTTGACAGACATGCTAGAAACAATCTATAGTCAGGACTTATTTTGTGTTCAACAGGGAGGCGTGGTTAGTACCTTCTCTATACAAACTCGACAGCCCTGCGGGTACCTTTGAAACATTTCATTCACACATATATTCTTTAATTCTAATTTCAGTTTACTAGTCCCTCACCATATGAATTAAGTTCACTTCACTTGGATATACCGTACTGTACAAATTTTATAAGTCCCTTTATGGTCTCTGTACTTTAGTTTCAGCTACCTTCTTAGTATCATTAGTTTCTTGGCTTCCTAATATAACCTTGTCATATTTCGCCTATAAACTTTGGGACAGTACCTGCTTTTATGTATTGTGTACTGTATACTGCAAGTATGCAAAGCAAGATGGTTTGAAACTGAGTATTACGCATAAATAAAATTACAACAGATAGAAAAAGATTAGATTGGAATTTGTGTTGGTTCATTTCAGTGATTATTCTATCTAGTGTTTTAACATTTAAAAGATTATTTATATTGTAGTTGATAATATTATACACCAATAGACATTATAGGCAACAAAATTCTTAGCAAATGTTCTATGTAAGCTTTCAATAGTCTTCACATCTGAAAGTGGTTTAAATGTAAAGGCACACTAAGGAAGAGAATCATTTAGTAAAGAAAACATTTTCGAAGCTAAATCTTGTTAACAAATTGAATACAGTATTATGAAAAAATATTAAGAGTACAATGTATCCTCACACGCTTGCTAAGTCTATCTTTTGATACCTACTTGCCTATAATTATCTTACATAAAATGAACAAATGCACAAGGGCCGTGAAGAGTTTTTTTTTATGTTGATTGTTCAATGATCCCTTGAACTATATGTTTAACACATCTCTAACCCTGTCCATGGAGGACAGAAGAAAATGTATATATGCTGGTTAGCATTGTAATTGTGTGGCCACGTCTGTGGTAGAAAATAATAATAATAAAAAATGCCTGAGGCGGCTAGTTTATTGTTCACCCCATAGTCATCCTGTGAGCGGTAGCGCAAAAAGCATTACAGAGAGAACAAAAGGTCTTTATCAGACCTCAACGGAGATTATTACATAAGCAATTTCATCTATCCTTCACACCTTATAATTACAATGTCGGCTAGTTACAGAGAATGTTCTTTTTCAAGAGCTATATATTTGCAGTAAGTCATTATACATCAATGGTAGGTCTTATTTATTTATATATTTATTTATTTATTTATATACAAGAAGGTACATTGGGTTTGTGAGAATACATAGCATAGTATTTACAATTTTGTAAAGCCACTAGTACGCGCAGCGTTTCGGGCAGGCCCTTAATCTAACAAATAATTTTAAGTAGGTAACTTCTAGCAGAATTAATGAAATGATAACAGATACATTACAAGAAAAAATGAGATGAGAGAGATTAGTAAGTATATTAAAGCACATTGGTATATTAAAGCTCTGATTGATTACACTGACAACTTGATTGGTAATTTAAACAAGATTAATAGACACCATACAGCAAATTGATAGCACATATAAGAAGACAGCAATGATCACAATGGTAAAGTTGTTCGGATTGGGTACATAAAGATTGGGAGATTGGGTAGCAATAGATACAGTGCAATTTTAAAGCAACAAGGTAAAAAACTATGAAGATGAAGTTAGGTACTTTTTAGTTTTGTTTTTGAATGACGCAAAAGTTGGACAGCTTTTTAATTCATTAGGGAGTGAGTTCCTTAGACTGGGTCCCTTTATGTGCATAAAGTGTTTACACAGATTAAGTTTGACTTTGGGAATACCAAAGAGATATTTATTTCTGGTGTTCTTATTGCTAATACATAATTGTTTGAGCAATGAAGATATTACAAAGTCATAGGGAAGTTGCTGTTTATTACTAGTCTTCACAATACACTACTTGTTTCTTAATCTCATATGGCGTTTATCTATTGGGAGCGAAATGTGGATATAGTGCAAGGATTTCAGGTATTTTATCCTTAGTAATAAGATTGGTTGCCATATCATACAACGTGAGTTTAGATTTATCTCTAAATGGCTCAAGTTTGCTACAATCCAAGATATAGTGTTCGAGTGTGTCCCTGTCTTTGTCCACACACTTAACACTTTACTTCATCTAGATCCCTATACTGTCAGCTGTCAGAGATACTTTTAGCCAAGTCTTATTCGAGCTGTGACAACACCCTTACTAAGGTTGCAGTAAGACAGTATTAATCGGAATCTTGAGTTATCAAATAGGTCCCTTAAAAGTGTCATTAGACGAGAACTCCTGGATGAATCTGAAGACAGTAGAACAGTGCAAATTAGAACTAGCAGGTCCATTGTTTATCACAATGAAATATGTGAAGTAAAACATTTGTATGGGGCAAGTAACAAAATAAGCAGACTAACAGACGTTGAGATGAGAGTTCGAACCTACGTCCGGGATGATTCCAGACGCGCCTTAGTCGACTGCGCCTCGACAGGGTTAAAAAAATTGCAACCTGGAGTGCTACTGCCATTACAAGGCTCCCGCAGCTTCTCCGAAGCACAGTCCGGGGTTTTACACAATCCCCTCCGTGCACCCAGGCTCTGTCAACCAAATGTTCTACCTCTTCGTCCTTATTTCAATACACAGAAATCCCAAAAGCATGATTCATCATGTTAACAAATCCACAAGGGCCGTGATGAGGGTTCGAACCTACGTCCTGGATGATCTGGGATCATCCCGGACGTAAATTTGAACCCTCATCACGGCCCTTGTGAATTTGTTCATTTGATGCATCACGCTATTGTTATTTCTGTGTGTATTATACATAATGTTTAATATAACCTGCAGTGTGATATAATGAATGGATGAGAGATATTTAACTCTTAATATACAAAACCTTTCACTATTGAGTATTCAAGTTTTTGTCTCTGCCCCAGGAATGTAGGAAATATTTAAAATGAACCAAAGGACAACAAACCCGTTCTTGAGATAATGTTAGGAGTGGAAGGAGGTAACGTGTTAAAGGGTCCCGGTAATCCCGCACAATCGAGATTTCCGGGTTCGAATCTCGGGCGGGACAGAAATGGTTGGGCATATTTCCTTTCATCTAGCAGCAAGTAGGTACTCAGGAACAAATCCACAAGGGCCGTGACGAGGATTCGAATCGATAAAACCCAGATACAAAACAAAACTGACGTTATTGCTGCCTACAGAGTAGGCAAAAAGAATCCATCAGGTCTAAATCAACGGAAAATTCGCCTGAAGCTGTCTTCCCAGTTCACGAAATCCAATCTAGTCCGGACAGCTGCATCCCTACGGAAGGGATTATACATCAACGAGTGCTTGACCAGGAACAGACAGCAAATCCTCTACCGCCTGCGTCAAATCCGGCAACAAAACCCAGATGCTATTCATCAGTGCTTCGTTAGAGATGGTCTGATAAAGGTGAGAAAAACCGCAGAGGGCAAAATGTTTACTATTACTAGAGAAGAAAACCTCAACACTTTCCTCTCCCAATGTGGTTTGTCTCACCTTATCACTCCCAATGAATTAACTTAATTAACCCCCTGTCAACTAGTGGGGCTAGGTATCCTAAGTCTCCTTGGTTCATTTTCTGACTTAATTTTTAACTTACTCTTACCTAGTCATTTACCGAAATTATTTAATTGAGTTATTAAAGTAGTTCTTCAGGTCTTTTTAATTATACAGTCATTACTGAACTATCTATAGTTATTAATCATTAGCTCAAATTTGCCTATGTTTATTATTCAACTTTTCTTTGATTTCATTTTTTACCTAGGTTGCCTAGCCTTGCCATGCTCCCTTACTCCATTGTACCCCTGGCTTTGCCTGCATCTCAAATTGCAAATTGTTACTTACAGTGTACCTGTGAGTACTCGTAAGCAATCTACCTCATTTTTGCTCAATTTGTTTTTTTGTTCTTTTTTTTGTATTGCTTAGTCTTGCTTATATTTTTTGTTTTGTATTTCCATATCTTGTGTTTTGTATAGTCCATGTTTACATGTTTTTTCTTTAATCTCATTAATTGCCTAAGTTGCCTAGCCTAGCCATACTCCCTTACTCCATTGTACCCCTGTAAGCCCCTTTTGTGTTTGTTTTGTACAGTATTGTGTATATATTTTTCCCTATTTTATAGCTTTTTTCTACTTTTTTCTGATTCTACAATCAGCTTCTTTTATGCAGTCAAGTATAGACCCTGAACTTAACCTCTTATCCACTATCTATGACAATAATCACTTTAATGATCTAAATTGCAGATATTTTGCAGCACATGACGGGTGCTACAAGCAGGATAGATGTATCCTCGAAGGAAGGAAAGATTGTGCAGCAGGAACATGGAGGAAACAGTTGGAAGCCAATGACAGCGCCTATGAACAATGTGTGGGAGAAAGGAACAGAGACAATTAAGGCGAGCCTAGGGAAAGTAGGAAATGCAGCTGAAAAAATTAAACCTTGTGGAAACAAGGTTCAGGTCAATATAGTGAACTCTGAGGTTGGTACTCAAATATTGGAATATCTAAAAAAACTAGAAAAGAGGATTGAGGCATTAGAAAAATTAACTATGGGGGGTAGACGGGGTGAAGATGGTGGTGAAACAGGACGTGAAGTGGAAAGTGAAACAGGACGTGAAATGGAAAGTGAAACAGGACGTGAAACGGAAAGTGAAACAGGACGTGAAATGGAAAGTGAAACAGGACGTGAAATGGAAAGCCAAACAGGACGTGAAATGGAAAGCCAAACAGGACGTGAAATGGAAAGCCAAACAGGACGTGAAATGAAAAGCCAAACAGGACGTGAAATGGAAAGTGAAACAGGACGTGAAATGGAAAGTGAAACAGGACGTGAAATGGAAAGTCAAACAGGACGTGAAATGGAAAGTGAAATAGGACGTGTAGTGGAAAGTGAAACAGGACGTGAAATGTGCGTTGAAGAAAGTAAGGAAGAACATGACGTATTGATGATAGAGGATAGTCAGGAAAATGAACTTTCTAGTAGTGTTAGCGTTCAACCTTCTGTAGTGACAAATGTCGAAACAAAGGTTAAAGTAAAACGGTATAGAGAAATAAGAAAGAAATTAGATATGAATAAGATCACCTTTGATGCTAGTAGCTGTTGTGCAAATGAGGAGAAAGCAGAAATGTTACAGTGTTGGGAGAGTCTGTCTGAGAAAATCTCGTATCTCATGGAATGTGACAGACAGGGCAAAGGTAGTTTTATTAAATCATGGATGAAAGTAGAGTGAGAATATTATCTTGGAGCGTTAATGGGTTAAAATCTAGTGCGGTGGATGTACACTATTATACTCTTAGATAGTACTATATTAACCTGATATGTTACATGGGATTCTTGTATTTGTACTCACTGAATTTGTGCGCCCCTTGAGGGACTTGAAGTATGGGAAGGGGTAGAAATAGCCTAAGCTAATCTTTGATTTTTTTTTTTTTTTTTTTTTTTTTTTTTTTTTTTTTTTTTTTTTTTTTTTTAACTTGTCTCAATAAACCTACTTGAACTTGGAAGACCATTATGTATTAAAGTGTCAAATTATGGATAACCATAGAAATAAGGAAATAAGTAGTGTACCACTTCAAATTGTTTGGATGTGTGATAATGATATGATAGACAGAATACTTAGGAACTACAAGAATTTTGCCCCAATGATTGTAACACTTACTATATTAATATGCAATGTTAAATGTTGTATTGTGATTTGTGTATCTGTACTCACTGAATTTGTGCGCCCCTTGAGGGACTTGAAGTAGAGGGGGGTAGAAATAGCCTAAGCTACTCTATCCCTTTGAGATGTATTTTTTTCTTGTCTCAATAAACATACTTGAACTTGAACTTTGAACTTGATGTAAACAATGTATTAACTCATAACCACAATATCTCTGTAATCAATTTGAACGTTAGATCCCTAGGTAAACACTTCGATGATGTTAGTGCCTTGATTGAAACTATTGGCAACAAATTCTCTTTTATTATACTTACTGAAACATGGTTGAAAGAGGATACTACTCAACTCTTTAACATGCCTAACTACTCAGCAATTCACAACTGTCGTCAACTTCAGAGAGGTGGTGGCACTGCTCTTTACTACCACCAAGAACTAACATGCTTAAAAGAAATTAGAACTAGAGACTGCTATGGGGAGTATATCTTCGCCAGCTTCAGAGTCAAGGGTGCTGAGTCTGTCCTGTCTGTGGGTGCAGTCTATAGAATTCCCAACACTGATGTGTCTGTATTCAACTCAAACCTTAGAAATCTAATACTTGATAACAGACTGAACAAAAACCACCTAATTATCGCAGGGGACTTTAATATTGACCTCTGCGAGCCAGAACACCCTACTGCTGTTAGCTTCCTCAACTGTATGAATTCCTGCCTCCTCATACCCTTAATCACTAGACCTACTAGAATCACTGATAGCACTGCCACGACTCTAGATCACATCTGGACCAACATAACCTCTCCGCTTACTTCAGGTATAATCACCGATAGCACTACAGACCACTACCCCACATTTCTCTTAACTAACATTAGCAAACCACCTCTAGAAACAAGGGAGTTAAGCTTTAGGCTGCACAATGAAACTGCTATAAACAATTTTATAACTGCTGCTGATAATGTCAACTGGGAGTCCGAGTTAGGTAACATAGGGGACATCAACCTAGCAGTGCAATCTTTTCTACAAACAACTCTTAGCCTTTATAACACCCACTGTCCTAGGCTTACAAAACAAGTCACAAGCAAAAGGCTTAACAATCCTTGGCTTACAAAGGGAATACTGAAATCCATTAACAAAAAACACGACCTTGAGAAGAAGTATAGGTTAGGAATTGTCTCCAAAGAATTCTCAAAGAATTACTCATTATTGCTAACTAAGATAATTAGACGAGCCAAAACTAATTACTACGAAGATAAATTTACTCAAATAAAGAGCAACATTAAACAAACTTGGAGCACAATTTCACAAATATTGGGATCAAAGAAATCTTTAAATAACAAACCGACTCTCCTGTCTAATAACGATGGTCAGCTTTCAGCCTCTGATTCTGCTATTGAGTTCAATAGGTTCTTCTCTTCCATTGGTTCATCCCTTGCAAATGATATTCCATCTTCCAGTACTGACATTAAGGACTATCTTACAGGTAACTATCCACAGTCTCTGTACCTAAAGCCTATTAATTCCACTGACGTCAATGAGATAATCCTTTCCCTTAAAACCAAGTCTAGTGCCCTTGAGGAGATACCAACTTTAATATACAAAAAAGCCTCCAGATCTTTAGCCCCTGCTATTGCTTTGCTCTTCAACAAGTCACTTGAACTCCAAACCTTTCCAGATATTCTAAAAAAAGCGAGAGTAACGCCTGTCCACAAATGTGGTGATCCCACAGATGTTAACAACTACAGACCTATATCAATCCTGCCAAACTTGTCAAAAATTTTTGAAAAACTTATATACAAGCAGCTTTACTCATATCTAGCCAAACTCAATATACTTAGCCCTTGCCAATATGGCTTCAGACCCAAAAAAAGCACTAACGATGCACTCATTAGTATGCTTAACTCGATTCATACAGCCCTTGATAAAAAGGAGCTCCCTGTTGGGTTATTTGTGGACCTGCGTAAAGCTTTTGATACTGTCAACCACCATAACCTTCTTCTTAAATTACATCATTATGGAGTCAGAGGGCACTCCCTACAATACCTCGAGTCCTACCTTACTGACAGGCTCCAATATGTTTCTGTGAATAATACAATTTCTCCCACCCTACCCATCAACATTGGTGTTCCTCAGGGCAGCATACTTGGCCCTCTCCTCTTTCTCATCTACATTAATGACCTTCCAAATGCCTCCCAACACCTCAAACCAATTCTATTTGCTGACGACACAACCTTCATTTACTCCAGTCCTGACCCTCTTGCTCTAAATGCCACAGTAAATACTGAGCTAAATAAAGTCCATCATTGGCTAACTGCCAACAAACTCACCCTTAACATTGACAAAACCTTCTATATTCTGTTTGGCAATAAATCCTCTAGTCTTATAAATCTCAAAATAAACAATACCCAAATTTGTAACAAATTAGATGGCAAATTCCTTGGCATTCTCATTGACAACAAGCTGAATTTCCAGGGACACATTCTAAATATATCAAAAAAAGTTTCAAAAACTGTGGGCATTCTTTCTAAGATCAGATATTATGTACCACGCCCTGCTCTGGTGACTCTCTATTACTCCCTTATCTATCCTTATCTCAACTATGGTATTTGTGCTTGGGGTTCTACTACCCAAAATCACTTACGTCCTCTAATTACCCAACACAAAGCCGCTATTAGAACAATATCCAACTCTGGCCCCAGACATCACTCGGTACCCCTACTCAAATCTCTTAATATGTTAGATATTAAGTCACTGCACATTCTCTCATGTGTATTATACATATATAAAACGCTAAACTATAATGCCAATCCTGATCTTAAAAGCTTCATAGAAGGTTGTAACAGAACCCATGAGCACCACACCAGAAATAAATACAGTTTTGATATTCCTAGAGTACGTCTTAATCAAACTAGAAATGCTCTGCAAATCAAGGGGCCCAGAATGTGGAATGACCTTCCCAACCATGTTAAAGACTGTCCCTCTCTCAACCAGTTTAAGATAAAAACTAAACACTACCTAATAAATTCCCTGTAATCTACCTCACTCCTCTATTGTCAACCCATGTCTGTTATTTTCTTTTTTTTTTCTTTTTTGTAATCAACACTGTTTGTCAACCTATTGTATTTGTGCTGCTTTTTCAGTCATGTTCCCCCTTTTTTTTTATCTTTATTTGTATTTGTTCTCAACATCTTTTATTCTTTATGCTCAATTAGTATTAAGTTCTAGATATTAATGTTTTTCTTGCCCGAAACGCATTGCGTAATAGTGGCTTTAGGCATTGTATGTACTAGCTCTATCTATATATCAATCCATTAATGTAACATCACTTGTATGTATATACCTTACCTGAATAAACATCTGAATCTGAATCTGAATCTGAATTGTCCTCTTAAAAATAACGTCGCTTTTGGCCGTTTGCCCGTATGGCCGAAAGTGGACGTAATTTGAAAATGAAAAAAAATTAAAATAAATTTGGGATTTTTTTTTTTTCAACAACAGTAAGTTAAGGGTCCTCTGATAGGTTAGGTGGGCAGGAAATTCTCATAAAGTTTCAAAACGTTATGAAAAACGTTAATTGAAAGTTTCCTCTTCTAACCTTACCGAGTAAGCCGGACGACTCAAACAGAAAACGGAACAGTACGTCACTTTTGTGAGTCGATTTCATTTCAAATTACGTCCAAATTTGGCCATAGCGCGCATACGAGCGAAAAGTGACGTTATTTTTAAGAGGACGGGTTGGGATGGAAATTATGAAACCAGGCTAAGGTAGCTCAAACAATGCTAAGAGAGAACTAGGGACGGCATTATCACAAGGTACAAGATATTCTGAGAAGGATACACATGCTAGGCTCCCCATTTTTTTTTTTTTTGAGATATATACAAGAGTTGTTACATTCATGTACAGCCACTAGTACGCGTAGCGTTTCGGGCAGGTCCCTGGAATACGATCCCCGCCGTTGAAGAATCGTTGTTACAACCAAGTACACATTTTACTGTTGAGTTAAACAGAGGCTACAGTTTAGGATTTGCACCCAGTAAATCCTCCCCATGTTGTCATTTAACCATGTATTGACTTTTAAGTAATTTTCATTGTATAAGTGCTTTAATTTATCTCATTTTCTCCATTATGTGTTTATCTCCAGGAACCAATGCTTGGTGCTTGGCTAAAGGTCATTTACGCTAGAATCCATTCAATAAAACATCTCAGTTATTTGGACCGCCTACAAATTTGAAATCCGTATTCACTAGAACACAGGTGGGAGAGATGCAATAATTTACACTTGAAAAATATTAGGAGGCCCGGTTCAAAATCTGCACCCAGAAGTAACATTGCATGAGACAAGAAGTTTTTTTTAGTTTAGTTCATTTATTATGCACCCCATACCCATCTTGTGGGCGGTAGTGAAAAGGGTTACAGAGGCACATAATGGGCTCAGGGACTGAACCTCACAATTCATTTAGCTAAGCAAGTTACAATCTAGATGAGCTAGTTACAAAATTCAATATAAGTCGTCACATCAACAATGAGTTTGAGATCGACCTCAAGTACAGGTTCTAGGCATGGCAAAATGTGCAAAACTGTGGGTGCGCATCGAGTTTTTGGCAAACTATCATTGAAAATGGGAAACCTTTCCGCCATGTGCACTGCGGTCATGGAGGAAGTAAATCTTTGTATATAAGAATGATGTATATTCTGTAGGAAATTGTCTCGAAGGATACTTACACATTTATTATAATAAACAAGGGGAGGTTTTTGATGTACGTGTGTGTGGTTGTGAGTGCGTGTGACCAGGGCGAGTGGATGCCGTCCCCGCCATGTCGTTGCCACAGTGTAAACAATCTTAGTCTGCGCTCCTACACAACTCTCCATATACTCTTCCACCTTCATGCTACCGCTCCCTGCGCCGCGCATGGTCCACCAGCAGGTACTATAGAGTATAATAAGGCGCCAGTACCACCGGGTGATGGGCTGAGAGCCGTGTATTACCAAGGTTTTGCTCTCTTCAGATCGATCGTTGTTCCGAGCCATAAGGACATGTGTGCATGCTGATTGGAAGCCATTGTGTGTGTCGAGATTTATGGCTCGACCTGGAGTCATAATTTTCCCGGGATATTATGTGTGAGGAATATGGTGGTGGGAGTGATGTGTCGTGTGGGGGAAAGTGAGTGATAGTGAGGCTGGAGATGGGTTCCAGGACTCGAGATAGCGGCAGTCATCCATACTGACCATGAATGCCTCTATACACTATTTTGGCTCCGCTTGGTTAGTTTCCTGAACTTCTGCGGGAAAGAGAATGTTTTTTTTTCAGTAGCGGTCAGTCCGTTTCTTAAGCTTGTGGAGAGTGTAATGCAGTAACCCCGGAACACGCCAGGTATGCTACTGGTAATGCAATACTCAAGTTTGTTATTTTGACAAGTAGTGTACAGTGTTATGTCTAGGCCTCAAACATTGCATTTAAGTACTTGTTGAATAGATGGAAAATAGGAGTGTTAATCCTTCAAATAACTGCTTTGATCACTGCTCTGTTAATCCTTCAAATAACTGCTTTGATCAATGCTCTGTTATTTAGAGGCAGAAAATTATATATATATATATGTTGAAGAGGGATTTAGTGTTGTCAAGTCTTATGTCAACTGGCTTTACATTGTAAACCTAAACAAACAAAATATAATAGTGCAAGAGTGTCGAATATAAAGCAAAGATGTACGTTTGATATATATTGTGCATTAGACTGAACTAATGTTGTAATGAAAAAGAAGTGTGCATACCATGGCAATATGTAGTAATAATAATAATAATTCATTGTGTCAGGGGACAGGAAGCCAGAGTGTATTCATACACATTAGGCTTATAATGAGATCCTTCTCCCCCAAGGTTGAATTACTAGCTCCACCTAGGATGCAACCCCATAATCCTGAGCACCTACTTACTGCTAGGTGAAAGGAAATGTGACCTTCCATTTTGATCACACCTGGGATTTGAACCCGAAATTCTCAATTGTGCATCGTAGAGAACATGTATTATTGGAATCCTCTCAAAGCTCTCCAAATGTACTCACTAGAAAGAAGATGGGAGAGATATCAAATAATATACACGTGGAAGATACTGGAGGGCCAAGTCCCAAATCTACGCAGTAAAATAACAATGTAGTGGAGGGAAAGATATGGAAGAAAATGCAGAATAGAACCATTGAAGAGCAAAGGTGCCATAGGCACAATCAGTGAACACTGTAAACATCAGAGGTCCACGGTTGTTCAACATCCTCCTAGCGAGTATAAAAAATATTGCTGGAACAACCGTGAACATTTTCAAGAGAAAACTAGATAATCTTCTCTAAGGAATGCCAGACCAACCGGGCTGCAGTGGATATGTGGGCCTGCGGGCCACTCCAAGCAACAGGCTAGTGGACCAAGCTCTCGCAAGTCAAGCCTGGTTTTGGGCCGGGCTTGGGGAGTAGAAGAACTCCCAGAACCCCATCAAGCAGGTATCAACCAGGTATAGAAGGTATCAACATAGAAACGATAAAACATCTAAATTACTGGGACTGTCTAAAAGCTCTTAAAATGTACTTACTGGAAAGAAGACGAGAAAGGTTAAAGGCCAGGTCCCAAATTTTCAAAGTAGAATAACAACATAATGGAGCGAAAGGTACAGAAGGAACGGCGACACAAGTCTAGCCTGGCCTCGGGCCGGGCTTAGGGAGTAGAAGAACTCTCGGAACCCCATCAACCAGGTATCAACCAGGAAATGCAGAATAGAGCCAGTGAGGAGTAGAGGTGCTGTAGGCACAATCAGTGAGCACTGTCTGAATATCAGAGGTCCACAGCTGTTCGATGCCCTCCGAGCAAGCATTAGAAATATTGCCGGAACGAAGGTAATGTAGATGTATTCAAGAGGCACTTGGACAGGTTGTTGCAAGAAGTGCCAGACCAATCAGGCTGTAGTGGATATGTGGGCTTATGGGCTGCTTTAAACAACAGTCTGTTGGACCAAGTTATCACAAGTCGAGAGCCGGGCTCGGGGAGTAGAAGAATTCCCGAAACCCTCTCCAGGTATATTCCAGGAGAACGAACCCGACTCTACTACAGGAACCCAAACTGTATTGTACTGTACTACTGGGACCTAGTGTGTGGGAGTTGGATGTTAAATAGTTTCTCGTGCACAGATCACCCAAGAGGAAGAGTCAGTGTTTGATTAGTCTTTCCTCATATTCCTTGCAGTTGTTATACTGTACTGATGTGTCATACCATTTGGGCCTTGGCAGATTTGTTGTTTCAAATAGATATTTAAGATTTGTAATGGATGTCTCAAGTAATAAATCAGCGGGGGGTGACCTGGGCTGTGAAACAATAGTAGTCAACAACTGTTTGCCTTGTTTTTCATGTAAACAGTTACTTGTTTTGTTGCAAGCTATTCTCTCCGATGGTTTTGGGTTTGGTAAACTCATTGGGTTTATCTCCAATTCCCGGGCTTTCCTTTTGTCTTGTACAGTAAACCAGGTTTTGGCTTTGGTTTCGGGTAGGTGATGGATGGGTGGGCTGCTCAGTGTATAAGCTAATTGAATTACTGTAGGCCCACCAAAAATGGGAGTTTAATTACATATTTATATTTTATTTTTTCCTCAGTGCAGATAGGTAGCAATTGTTTCACATGTAAATTTTCTAGACATGAAATACTGTACCTCTGAAATTTTTAGGGTTCTAATTTCTAATGAAGATTTTCTCTTCAAAATAAATCTCTGTGAGGGAAGGGGGGGGGAAGAGCATCAATTTTATCATGTAAAATTTAGATGTTTTATTATATCAGAATACATTTATGATTGTTCTTTTATGATATCAGAAAACATTTGATTGTCCTTTTTCCAGAAATGATGAACAGTCATGTCTAGTAAATGGTTTTTTACATCTGAAGAATATATCAAGTTATATCCAACAGTGGATACCAGTAGGATGGAGGAGGATCCGGACGGCAAGAGCCAACAAGTGGCAGTTATCATGACTGGCCAGGTGAGGATGTGCTTATTATTTATATAAATACTTTCATAAGTTACTCTATACTCTGTGCAGAGAATCTTGAGTGTTTGAAATGCTGCTCATTCGTATGCAGTTTTGTTCATATGTACATTATATATTTCCTAATTTTTTCCTAAGACACATCTTGTACAATGTTCCCAAGTCATTATGGCATATTGAATGCTCACTAATTTGGTCTTTATTAACTGGATTTAATTAGATTTAACCATTTTCCAAGCTGGACAGAATCTAAATTATGGGACTTGACTCTTGGGATGCTGAATGATGAGCGACAGCAAATTTTTGTGAATTTCTGTGACTACTTTTATTTGAATTAATGTGTTCTTGTGCTCTTTCTGTGAGTAGGTAATTCCAGATACTGTATCCAGAAATTTGAAATGGTTTGGTAAATTTTTAGGGGGACGGGATTTCATAATACAGTTCAGTATTTCTTGAATTGTAACATATGCTGTAGTTTTTGAGGAGATACCTTCTTTGATAGTCTATCAGAAAATATCTATCATTTTCCTAATCTTATTCTTATTTAAATGTAGCTGATTGTAGTTGTATGTCATTTGTTATTAGAATATTTGTTTAATATATCATTAGCTAATTTACATATTATGGTGTGCAGGTGTACCGAGATGCTGGGCTGAAGTACAGTAAACATCCCATAGTAGAAGGACTGCTGTATGACAAGCTGTGCGAAATTGGTAAACATAGGCTTAGAGATGATGTTAGAAAAATGGCTCTAGGCATAGCCATGTCAGTAAGTAGAACAGTTTTCTTGTTAATTGACAACTATTTGAACTAATTAAGTGTCTTGTCTTCTCCTTTGACTTGCAAGCATCCATATGAATTGAAATATCTTTAATTAATTAAGCTTATTTTGTTCTGGTACATAATACAGTCAATGGTTGATAGCATGTATTCTGACATTCAGATAAATATGTAAGTGGAATGTGACAGTGGGTGGCTGCAGATATTTTGTGTTTACAATCTATTGATGAATATTTGTTTCTCAAGTTCCTTTGTGGCATGCCTAACCTTGAAGGGTGTGGAGGCTGCATGGCCACTTAGTCATGCAGTCCCCACACTGCATGCATTTAAAGTCCATGTAGTGTGGGGACTGCATGGACTTTAAATGTCTACAGAGTTATCCGTAGATATTTAAACTGCTTTCAAATAATAACTATTTTCCTTGAAGGGTACTTAATATAATTACAGTAGAAGAATGCTGGTTTTGGAAGTTACACAAATGAAGCAGTTACCACAAACTTGTGAGAAGTAGCAATACAAATTAATTGCAAGATGACAAAAGATTTTTTCAGCAAGCATGTGTTAATAGGAATGGACGTAAAAAATAAAGGAAGAAAGGAAGGTTCAAATAAGAAAGAAGTCTCATTTAACTTGCACTCATATCGAGATAAAATAATTATGACTTTGGATTGTTGACCTAATAAATAATAATAATAATAATAATAATACAGTAATAATAATAATAATAATACAGTAATAATAATAATAATAATATATGAACAAAATAAAGTTTGTAGTCATCTTTGACAACAAACTAAACAAGTGACACTGTGCTTTTCAGACCTTGAAACTTCCACCAAAAATGTTAGTATACTGTAGTTCTGGACAACTCTCACTATGGAAACCCATACTAAAAACATATAATGCTTTATGCAAAGCAAAGCTAGAATACTGTAGGTTTCCCACCATAACAGCACTGAAAATACTAGCTTTCATTCACAATTTTGGAGTCGGAATCATCATGGTCACCTTCCTTACTACCCCATGACTTCCTCCAGAAGAAACAGGCCCCTTAAACAATGGGGGGCCTGCCCCCCCCTTAACCATGCCTGAGACCAACCAAGTCGCAATGCCTGTGCAGGGCAGATGGAAAACACTGGACCCAGAATCTCTAAATTCATAGAGAGGGGGAAGGGGATGAAAGCCAAAGCTGGAAGCCAATTTAGTAGTCAACCAACAAAATAGTCTTCAAAGTGAATATAAAAAAAATATAAAAAATTAATGGACTTTAGATATCTCAGTGGTCTCAGTGGATGCAACTTTTAGGCGAGAATTTATAAGAGAAAGTAAACCCGCTCATCAAAAGTCCTATAAATTAATGTTTACTCCCTTTCAAAAGAAAATAATGAACCCTGAAAATAATGCCCCAACTGACAACATGTGGCAAATGTTTCATGTACATGAAACAATTTATACCAGTTGCAATTAACTGTATACATATAACCCCAAAACCCATGATGGAACTGGATATTTTGCCAGATATCCAATCAAGCACTACTATACAGTGCAAAACCTACCTTAAGTAGATTCTGTTTATAAGGCAGAAACAACAGCTACTGTTGAAGCTGAAAAATAATTTACAACTCCCCAACTCTAAATTTGTCTTATACTATACAGGTACTGTATCTAGATTCCCAGAATACCATTGCCAACATAAACCTTTCTTACACATTCATTAATCTAGCAGATACAAGAGTAGTTCTTTGGATGGCCTCTGGATACTAGAAAATCACATTTTTGCTTGAATTCCTGTAATTATAGGAATTCATGGCACTGAAGAAAAGAGGCTGATCAAAAGCAAAAATAGTCATGGAACTTGTCACTGCATACACTATCCAACTCCCATACCCAAATATCAAAGAGGTCAATACAAGAATACTGTATATACATGTAAAAAACAGTATGAAACAATGTACCTGTATCAGAAATGCTAACAATAATATTGCCAAAATCAAACACCTTGTCCCCCCTGGTTCTTTGTCAACCAACTGCATTGAGGACATAAATGTGTGCTTGCCAGACTGAGGTTAGGGCATATGGTCCTAATGCATTCCCACCTCCTTAAGAATAAGTTGAACTAATTACCAAATGCCAAACTTTTGACACCACTAATAATAATGAATGAGCACCACCTCACCAGTTGCCAAAATACACCCAAGGCAGACTGAAGCATGGGCTTCATAACACTGGTTATAAGAATTCTAGAAAAATAATATAAAAATCTAAATAATCGTAATCTAAATACAGTAATCTAATTAGCTGTGCTTGATGAATATTATATGTGTATTTCTAATAATTCTATAATAAAGGACAAATACATGTGCAGTGAAGAGATAAACTTTCCATTTCAGGTGTCTGACAAAGAATTTAAACCCACCGTAGAATGGCTTGACAATTTCATGAGGCGATTCTGCCTCTCAAAGAAAAAAATGGGTTTCCACAGCTCAGCAATGTTGAAGCAAAAGGTAAGCACATTTTCAGAAGGCCTCACGAAAGCACACTCACTATGCACAAACTGAGGAGCATCTTACCTCTTACTAGTTGCCAGGTGAGGTAAGCATATCTGGTGCAAAAGCTTAAACCATAGTATACAATAAGGAATAATATATTAACTGCCATAGACATAAAGGATATACAGTACATATATGAGGGAAAAGGAAAATGGAGGTGGTGATAAATGACACCCTATATGGGATCTGAGGAGAGGATGGGTAGAAAGAATAGGAGAGAGAGATTGGGGTATTCCAAATGGAACATGTGATAAAATATGGATGGCTAGGTCAGGATGGAAATTTTCAAACAGCAAAATAAAAATTTATGAATTAGCAAAATAGGGTGCAGTCAGAAGCTACTGTACTGCACAGTATATTTAAAGGGCAGTTACACAATAGGTAGGAAGTAAACATTGAGGAAAATTATCAGTTAGAAAAGGGAGAACAAATAAAGGCCTGAACAAAAGAAAGATAAATGCATCAACAAATATTAATGAGTAGCATAGATAGATAACAGAACTTAAAGAATGCATTGAGAGTATGAGCAGTGAGAAGAATACAAAGATGCTGCTGTGAGAAATTGAGAAGGTGAGGAGAGAAGTGGGCAAAGGAGAGAAAGTTACAGAGGAGCAGGGAAAAGGAAGATTTTTAGAATTATAGTAAGCATATATGCTAATTTTAATTATAGCAATTTTTTTATTCAAATTATGTTAAATATGGTTATAATACTCTGTCTAATTTGATGTAAAGAGTTAACTTAGACCAATGAACAAATTCTGCTATCATTTGTTATTTATTTTTATGAGATTGTTTTGTACCACAAGTAGTGCAGTTATTGTCATCACAAATTAGTCTTTCCCTCCGGTTTTTAAACCTATTTCTGGATTAAATCAGATGGAATAGCAGCATAATGAGTGGTTGCAAGTCATTTCCTTTGAGCTATTTCAGGAATAGATTTACATGCAATATAGGTACAGTATACATGTTACATTGTAGGCCAACATACAGTACACACACTTCCACAGTGTGTACTATATGTACCATACTTTATTTTAATTGTGCATATAAATTGAGTAATTCCACATTATTTAAACTAAAGTGAAACAGCAAAAACACAAACACAATCACCACCGCTTGCTCATTCACTTGGGTTGTCAACAATATTGCTTCTTCACAATCTGTGACCCAAATGACCCCTTCAGTAGTGTCGTCCTGATTTTTACAACAAATAAAAATCCTTAGATATTTGTGTTTTTCTTTTTAAAATTGTCTTTCATTTTGCATGCAAATGTATTATTTTATAAGAACAGATTTGTATTTTCTTGCCCGCAGGCAAATAGGCATCTCTGATCATAGCTGCACTTTAGGGGTTAAGGACAAAGATGTTTAGCAAGTGAAGCCTCAGTGTGTGGCAGTCAAAACTGGTTTCATCAAGTACTGTACTTACAAGTGTTCTACAGTAATTTTAGGCTTAGGTTAGGTTAGTAATGCATCTAATAGGCACATTTTATCTATGCAGTGGTACCTTTGTTTGCGAATTTAATCCGTTCCCAGAGACAGTTTGTAAACCGAAACGAATTTTCCCGTAAGAAATAACGTAAATTAAATTAATCCGTTCCACACCCCGAAAAAATATTAACTTAAAAATATATTTTATACATACTTCTCTCTCCTATGTTTTGCCTGCATGTCACTATGACCTGGTTGTGGCTCACTGCTTATTTATCTCACTAAGAACCTTTCCATTGAAACTTGTTTTTCCCTACGTCTTAACACTTGTCTGTAGTGAGACATCACATTTCTTGTTTATCCTCTATTGTTATCCTCATAATTATTTTCTTAGGTTGAACTTTACCACTGACTTTCTTGGGACCCATGGTGTGCCATATAATATGAACTTTTATGTTCAGAAACCAAAAAAGCAGAAAACAATGAAATTCTTTACAAAGAATTCAAGTGTGAACGTCACTAGGTGAAGACACTGATAAAAACTGAAGCACGCCTTGCCTGTGCCATCAGGAACCACATGCTCATTGACCCAGACGTGTATCAACAAACTCGCCAAGCGAGGCAAAACGCATATACCGTGTCGAATTTTATGAAGAAACTGAGCTCGTAAACTGAAAAATTCGTAAAGGGGGGCATTCATCAACTGAGGTTCCACTGTATATTACAATGTAAAATATATGCCTTATTAAATTCCTGCTGCTCTAATATGTACTATACTACATTTTTATTATGTAAAGTGCAAAACACTTTCAATCTGAAATAAAATCTGAAATAATCTGTCATGAAGGTGATCAAGACAGTTTTAGTCCTCTGTCACATAGTTTGTGAATAAAGTAGATGTCAGCAGTGGAAAGAGAGGTATTGTAAAAACATTGAGTTCCTGAGCATAATGATTTAGAAGATGCTATTTACCAATGAATTATGGAGAACCGTCAGTCTTTTATAATACAGTACTCGGTGCAGCCTGTGAATGTGACTCAAAGTTTATGTGAAATACTGTACTAGTAAAACTTTGTATAATCATAAATACGATTATACTACAACTCGGTTGAAAACTTGCAATGCTTTAATTAGTCAGATCTCCAAATCAAAAACCAATTACCCCAGACTATTTGCAGAATGAATGAAATAAATTCCTTTGTCATACTAAAAGTGTTCCGTATCTAATTATTTATTTTAAATATAAGTAAATATGGCCACCATAGCACTCCTACATTAAATTAATTAAACACGATCTGTTTTATTCATTGACAGATTGTTTTTTATGTATTTGAATGTATACCATGCATAATACAAAATATGAATTTATGAAATCTTCGCTTGCTAAGTAAAATATGGCCTGCATTTGACAAAGAGATTTCCCTACCCCTGGGTTACAAATTTATGCTTATTGTGTAGGCTTAAGCTTTATATAAACCATGAATAGTTCAATTGTGTGATGGTGTTTAACAGTACTGTTCATAAAAATACACAAATTCCAATGTCTAAGCTTAAACTTTAAATGCTTTAAATTTTAGGTGAACTTATTTTTTTAATGATTATTATGTATTAATAATTATTTTTTTTTAACAGATTTCAGCTAAATCAGAAGAGACGCCACCACCCCTCTTTCGGATAAATAAGCTTACACAAGAAGACGTTTTAAATGCTCTGGGAATAAATGTAGAGGGTGGAGGTGGCAATGATGTCAGTGTAGATAACAATGATACCACATTACCGGTGGAAAATGGAAAGTCTAAAGGGGAAGTTTCTAGTGGTCAGAACGGTTCACAAGTTGAAGTGAATGGAGAACAACCACCAGAGGTTGATCCTTTTAAAGACGCTGAGCCTATAGCTGAAATTAAGATTGAACCTGAACATAGTTTGAGTGAGAAAATATCAGATGGTCAAGTCACTAAGGATGCTAATAAGTCTAGTGTTACAATTAAGGAGGAGCCTAAAGACAGCACTGACAAGGTTTCAAATAGTGATACCAATTTATCCACCTCTGAAAAAGAAACAGGAAATTCCAGTATACAAAATGGGATCGTGGTTGAGGAGAACTTGGTAAAGAAGGAAAGTGTTGACACAAATTTGGTTAATGAAAAAGAAAGTGACTTACAATTACAAAACAAGAATTCAAATAATAAGCCAATTGCTGAAAAACAAATACGTGTAGTAGCATTTGAAAAACTGAGTAATGGTAATGACAAAAATCTTAATGATTCATCAAGAAGTGAAAAAACTGTAGTTGAAGATAAAGATAATGATGATAAAGAAAAGGAAGCAGATTCATCAAATGATACAGCTAATGAAAATGAAGAGGAGACATCTAACTCCAGTGAAAGCGGTAAGATTAGCATATTGTATTTTCCTATGCTCTCCCTAACCACCTCTACTTTGCGACAAAACTTGGTTTCTGATCAAGCCTCCGGGTTAGTAGCCTAATCAGTCATTTGTTTTCCGAACTCTTCCACTCGAATGCTCCGTAAAGCAAGCTTACTGGCTCCCGTTGAACACATTCATGACAGGTTTACGTTCTTTTCCAGTGCTGAGTGTTCTCTTAAATGTCCCTTCCATTTCATCCTGGTGCTAGGGAAGGACTGAAGAAAGGTTCAGTCCTACCTGGCATGTCCACAGAAAGGTCAATCATCTTACGAGATGTTTCATCTCCTTTCCAGGAAGTTAAATTTTAGGACTTTCCTGCAGTTCCAGTAGTTAAGTGCATCACTGATTGTATGTTGGCTGTAAAGAATCTCTAAAGACATGTGTTGGGGACACATGGAAGTTTCTTTATTGTTATTTAAATGAGATTGTAGTTTGAATGTTTTTTATTTGAGATTGTAATACAGTACTCTTGATTTATTCATTATTTGTGAATATCAGGTAGTGTATTACTCCTAGTTGGCTCAACTGTTGGTTCAGCTCAAACTTGTCAGTCTCATTAGTCTTGTCAGTCGCAGAACATATAACTGCTCTGTTGTATGCTAATTGATCGAGACTACTACCTGAATTTTTTTCTAGTACAGTATAATATTATGTATCACTTTCCACCTAAAATTTGAAAGGCTAAATTCTCCTTGAAGGACAATATTTGGTGCTTGCTTTCTAGGTTTTCTAGGCAGTTCATGGTATTTGTAATTTCCTTGCTTAACTTTAAAACTGTTGCATCAGTGGGTTATGTAAGAGGATAATTACAGTACTGTATTAGGTTTTTATTTTCTGCTTGGATTCCTATCATTATTGTTGTTAATTATTATTAATATTATTAGTTGTTAATAATCAGGGCGCCTGACAGCTGAGTGGACAGCGCTTCAGATTTGTAGTCCTGAGGTTCCAGGTTCGATCCCCAGTTGAGGCGGAGACAAATGGGCAAAAAGTTCCTTTTACTCTTATGCTCCAGTTACCTAGCAGTAAATAGGTACCTGGGAGTTAGACAGCTGCTACGGGTTGCTTCCTGGGGGTGTGTAACAAAAAGGTCTGGTCAAGGACCAGGCCACAGGGACGCTAAGCTCCGAAATCATCTCAAGATAACCTATTATTTTCAAAATGGCATCACACTGCAGCCTAATTTATTCGTCTAAACTTCACTTCGTAATTTCAATGACTACCCCATTTTAGTTTTTTGTTTTTCACTTGTGCCTGACTGTCCTCCAATATTTTGTGACCATGTGTTTGCTCTCTCTTTTTTTATCCTCACTTTTCTTAGTGTCTGAATGAAAACCAAGCCAACATGAAAAAATAAATATCCTTTGTGTTTTCATTTTTTAACCTTCACAAATTTCTTTATCATTATTTATTAGATGAAGACAGTTCCCAGTCAAGTGATGACAATGAGGCAGGAAGTGAAGCATCAGATGATGATGATGACAAAGATGGAGAAGCAAAACAAAAATCACAGGAGGAAAATAAAATTATGAAGACCAGACAAGAGGAGGATGAAATTATTAACTACTCGAAGGAGGAAGACAAATATTATCAAAAAAATTATGATGGTGAGTAGTGATGCAGCATCATTTTGTGTGTTCAATTAAATTTTTGTGCCTAATGGAAATACAGAACACTCCCCGATTGTTCTGTTGAACCTCAGTCTTTCGATTATTCCATCTATTTGTTTGAGAGTCCGACCCCAGGCACCTCCACCCATGAGAGGCCTATGTAGTTTGGCAGCTGGTCGCCATGTTGCTGTGGTGCGACTGCTACACCTAGTCTGACAATCCAGTCTTGTTTTTGTGTTTATCCACGGAAGCAAAAAGGATGGTTGATGGATGGCTAAGGAGCTTTAAGGTTTGTTATTGTATTAGATGTGTAAAATTATGAGGTGAAAGGCAATCTGCTGATGCAGATGGTGCAGGAATATGTGTTCAAATTTTGAAGAGGTTGTGCAAGGCGATTTTTTTATCTTCTGAGCAAATTTATAATGCCGATGAAACAAGCTTGTACTGGTGTATGTTAACCTAACCAAATTTAACCAAACTTAACTAAACCAAACCAATCTTAACCCACCCAACCCAACCTAACCTTACCTTCAACATCTCGGGCTGAACCCTCAACACCACCATACTCGCCTAAACATCATTCCAAGATCATATGTGGAGAAACATCTGAACATTTGAGTATCCATATTCACTTGTTACTGTATTACCAATATTACCAATATTCTGTGATGTTTTTTTTTTAAATATCTAGTGAAGAAATAATGTATTATGTTCTTTTATACATAATGTTTTTCGTGCCTGAGGGTTGGTGGGGGGGGGGGGATTCAACTATCCTGACACAACCACATATCTAATCAAGATTGAAACTGAGGTGTTAGGAAGAGAAAATGTCAAGTTTATTTATTATTTTGACGCCAAAACATTCCTCAATGTTATAAACAACACCAGACTATTTGTATTTTTTAATTGTTGGATGAAGGTTGGTTAATCAAATGTAGCTGCTTCTGATACAGTTTAATTGCCTTCAAACTTGCATTAAAGTGTTGTATAAGATTTTTCTGTTTTTGATTAAAGCATATACTGCACAGAACATTAACTTTCTCATATGATAAAATTACTTTTTGTTACACAGAACTTGTTAAGCGTCTCAGTGGGTCGGTAATCCGGTGCACCTCTTGCAATGAGCAAGTGAATCACCAGTTAAGGTCCTTGGTCCACACTCATCCGGTACTTAAAGTGTTTATATGTAAGGTAGGTAATCTCTTCCTTAGATTTTCTACATAAGGTGTGCACTATCATTCATTTGCAAATATTTTACGTATAAGGCAAGGAACACACACATAAGGTTATATTTGCAATGTAAATATGCAGGTATTTCTGGTAGGAATATATACTTGTAACATTTTCTCTAGATAATTTTTTAGTGGCTTCTGCAAGCTATCTTGAGAATGCTATTGCATATTTACTGAAAACTTACAGCACTTAGTGATGGTCAAGGGGAGGTTTTTATTATAATTTTGGCAGTGTAACCCCCTGGTGGGCAGTTTTAAAAAGAAAAATGCTTGTTATAGTGGTGGTGTATGACCTTAAGTGACACTGGGGTGATTCCCTCAGTGGCTTCTCTATCTGACCAGGATTCTCAACCTTTTTCATGTCAGGTGGGGGAAGGGGGACTGAGGGTGTCGTAAGACACTACACACACTGAGGGGGAAAGCCTGCCCATAAGGCTGAAAAGGGCTACAAAAACTCACAAAAGAATATGTTCATATATATCTGATATGAACATATATCAAACAAAATTAAAAACTGCCTCAAGCAACCAAAATACTACCTCAGCTGCTTCCTCCTCCCAATGAAAGATGGCAGCACTAGTCCTTTACACTCTCGCCTTGCTATCTGACTGGCAACTATCAAGACTATTTATTTTCCTTAACGACTGGATTTTCAGTTATTTTATGTTTCATTGATGGGTTTTGTGCTTTATTATGTTCATCGCAATAATATTTGCTATTTACCTTGCATGTCTCATGTTTATTAGATTGCTTCAACTGGGGTTTTAGGGTTATCATTCCTGGCATGCTGTTTAGTGAATGTTGTCTCTGAACAGTTATGTTCTGATGCCTACGAGTCCTCCCCATAATGTAGTTTTCTTGAGTTTTTCCATATCTTGGGTTGTGCTTAGAGACTCAGTGGCTAGATGAGACCTATGTATATATAATACATAAATCTAGAACAAGTACATAATGCACGAGCTGGGAAGTGGGGATGGCTGAAGAATAGACTGGAGAGGAAGCGTCATAGTCAGAGAGAAAAGAACCAGGGCTTAACCCAGGGAGTGAAAGGGGATATTGGAACTCAAAATAACTATAGGGAACTTTAAAATGAAATTAAGGAGTTATAAATATGAGCAAACATCATTGCTGAAGTAGAGGAATTGAAGAGAATGAACCAATTCAAGGAAGTGAGCCCTAGGACCTACCTGAAGGAGTTTGCTCATGTATGTCAGTGTTTGCAGATGGTGCAACGCTAATAGGAAATTGAAAAAAATGAAGATAGCAGAAAATTACAGGATGATATTGACATAAATGCTGAGTGGGCAAACAAATTGCTGTTAGAGTTCAACCTCAACAAGTTTAAGTGTTATGAAGGCTGGAAAGGAAGGCAGGTGACCAGGAATCTACACCATAAAGGAAAAGGAATTGCATGAATTGGATAAAGAAAAAAGACTTAAAAGTGGACATTATTCCCTCACGCACACACATCAGATGCACTTATAAATTGGCAGTATATGGGAAGTGGGCAAACATTAGAACTGCATTTGAAAATAAATAAGGACTCGTTCAAGACAACTTATGGGAGACAAATACTAGAAGTTACACAAAGAAATCACAATGCTAGAAGTATTGATTGGAGGCAGGTTGATTGAACAAAGTAAAAAACATTGAGGTTATACAAGGGAAGGACTTGAAAACAAGAGAACTGTGAAAAGGCACAGTGGACTTGAATAATTCACTATAAGAAAATAATGTGAGGAAATAATGAAGGAAATGGAGGAACTGAAGACAAGTCATAGAGAGGAGGAGGAAACAAAGTTACAGTTGAGGAAACTGTTAAAAAAGAAGAAGCTGATAGATAAAAGGGGAAACATAGGTGGCCAAACCAACTGTGCTGTGGTGGATATGTGGGCCTGCAGGCCGCTCCAAGCAACAGCCTGGTAGACCAAGTTCTCACAAGACAAGCCTGGCTTCGGGCTGGGCTTGGGGAGTAGAAGAACTCCCATAACCCCATCCCGGTCCAGATTGTAGGAAGAGTAAAGAAAATAGAAGAACTGATAAGTCAACTTGTAACTGTTACATTATTTATTTTGTTTAGATATGCTGGACAAGGTATATGCTTCTCAATCTTCCTTTTACAACCAAAACATTTCGGCCTCTGCTTTTGTTATAACCATTTTTGTCTCTTGCTGTTCAAAACTTCAAAACTGCTTTGATAATGTTATAATTGAAATGAAACTCCAATTATTGTTTGCGAGACCTTTTGTCTTTTCCTGTCTGTTACGAGTCAGTCTGTTATGAACTTTACAATTAATTTATTTTGTATAGTACATTAAATATCTTTTTAACCCCCTATTTACAATACAGTTCTGTATTTTGTTGTTTTAAGGGTATTTTGCTACAGTAATGTTTTTATCATACAGAGATGCCGGAAATACTATGGAAAAGGCAAATATTGTAAGGATGAAGAAGGGTATGATGAATACTGCCGATTATGTGCAGAAGGAGGTGATCTCTTGTGCTGCGAACAAGAAAACTGCTTCAATGGCTTTTGTAAGGTAAACAATTTGATTTTTTGTTGTAGTTGACCACACAAATTACAGGACAATACTTGTTATTGTACAGAGAATACTAACATGCCCTTCCTTAATTTAGACAAAAATGTCATTGATTTTGTAGTCATAGTATTAAAAATAAATTATATTTCTTCAACTTTGATACAGAAAAGCAAGGTATTGTTTTTCAAATCCCATGCTTTTTTTTTTTTTTTTTTTTTTTTTTTTAACACCAGATTCTGTATATGGAGAAAATCTCCACTACTACTCTTGGGGGATTCTACTCAAATCTTACACTTACACTTACACTTAAGAAATATTTTATTTTATCTCTGGCACATTTCGGTGTTCATCTTCCATTTGTCTCTCTGTCGTGGTCTTTTATCTTTTAAACAGCCTGTCTTTGTCCACATATAAATAATACCCTGGAAAATCTTGCATATTGGGACCATGTGTGCTGTGTGTGTTTCTCCAGCTATGGTCAAATTAGATCATCCAGTTCCCTCATTTGTAGTTAAACTATCTTAGTGGCAAACTGTACTTCTTTGAGTAGCTCTGGGATTGTCTGGTAATACTGCTCTTTAGTGGTAATATTACCAGACAACCCCTTTGCAAAGCCTGTAATAGGAGAGGGGTGTGGGGAGTGGGGGGTGGAGTGCAATATAAGGAGCATCTTTCCTGGTTTTAGCTTGGCTGCTTGCTTGCCAAAGACAACCTCTCACTATTCCTTTATGTACTCACCATTATATGTAGTAATTCTACAGGCAGTAGACAGCCTCTGAGAAATGAAGCAATGCATACTGAAATTGAACTATAATCACTGAAAGCAGTGACCTTGGCTGCCTTTTGACCTTCTTTGGAGTTTGAATCTTTTCCTTGGCAGGGAGGGATGTTGCTCAGAGTGGATGTATTTTCTTATTCCCCCATCCCAGAATGAGCTGGACTCTCCTCCGCTTTTCTAAGGGCATGTTTACTGGTTCCAGTCGATGGCCTGGATATGCCTTCCCTACTCAGATTTCCATCATCTTGGCTTCCCCCTTCCACTTTGACTCTAACAATTTTGCATCAATACAGTACAGCATCTGAGCTCTATTTCAGTGTCTGTTGTGATATTTACCTATCTGGCTCATAAGTTATCATGAAACTTAGTGCTGCATACTGTTGAATCCAGACTGTAATGTCAACATTAATAATAGGAATGGCAGTGGTGCCAATTGTTGTGCTACAACCTATGATGAAGTAACAAAATAAGGCAAAAATATATCTACAGCAATAAATCCACCATAACCATCATAATAATAAAATTAGATTGTTCTAGGGTAACATTTTTATGATTTCGAAGCTCAGGTGATCAGGGGATCCACCTGAATGAAGTGGTTTTACTGTTGTGGATTACATCTTATTGCTCTGGTTATTACAGTTTGAAATTCAACCCATCCTTGAAAATGATACTACTGTATCTATACAAATATGGATTATATGTAAAAAAATGGACTGTTATGCCCAAAACAAGTCTGCTATTGGTATACTAAATGACAACAAAAACTGGAACAATGTGATATAATGTCTCTTAGGCCTAAATTTGCAGTGCTAGGCATAATTTAGTATAGTACATACATGTACTCCATTAGACTGGAAAGGTTAGGTTTGGTAGTCGCTTTCTTTCTCGGGGTCTTAACAAAGTCAGTAGTACAAAACATTCCATATTTTGTACATACTCTTCCTGCAGCTGCTATCTGTATTATAATTTTTGGAAGATTGAAATTTCTCTGTGGGCATTTAACTATTTGTTTATATGTAATATGAACACATTTGTTAAGTGAAATTTAATCATTTCTCCTTCCTCTCTCCCTTCTCTCCTCATCCACCTTCCCTTTTCCCACTTCATCTTTTTTTTTTTCTGTTCAGAGATGTGTAAAGCGTACAATGGGACGCTCAGAGCTGAAGAATGCAGAAACAACAGAAAACTGGGCATGTTACGTATGTGATCCCTCTCCCATGATGGAGCTCCGAGCCCTACACCGTACCATTCTCAGCAACCTTAAGAACTCGGAGGAGCAAGATGCTAACCTCTCCAGGTAATTTGTATTATAATCTCTAGTAGCCTTTTGTAATATTAAGTACTTAGTGATTAAGAAGTTTGTAGGTCATTAGGATTATTTCCATATATATTTGTCTTAATTGTTTACAGGTACCATTTTCATTATTATAATCTTAAAATTGTGGCTGTTTAGATTTTAAGTATTAATGCAGTTTTATTAAGCTAGTTTTTTATATATAGTTTTATTTCTGCTTGTAGTCTATTTGAGCCATGCAGTCTTGTTAGTTCTTATTCAGCCTTATGGAACCCTTGCATATTATATTACATGGCTGTGTTTAATGCTTATATGCTTCTGTGAAAAGCAGGTGAAGCAATCTCTGTTTACATCTATAGTGTTAGGTCTAAACAATGAGCTTTATCGGTGGTTCTAGAATTTCTGGTAACACTTGAAACAACGAAGCAGTTATCAGACTCTAAACAGCATGTCAATAAGGCTAATGAGAAATTATGCTTTGTAGTATAGTACTGGCTATTATATGTCTATATAGTATATATTGCTTATTTTCAGACTGCCAGTTTGCATGTTGTGTGTGTGTGTATATGCAATGATTTATATTTGATATTAAATTAAATGAGGGTTTAGATAATGTAATGGATAACCTGATAAAAAATATTGCTTCTGCTAGATGTGTTCCATAAGTGAAAGTGCCTCGGGTGCACTTGTTAACTAACATTGCTTTAACACATTAATATATTACAAAAGGACCAAACTTAATATCACCATGGTTACTGAATGAGGCTGAAGAATTACTTTGTCATGTGCTAATGAAAAATTTCAATAAAACACTCTGACATGAGAGCTGGAAATCGGAGAAAATGGTAAATGTGGGTCCAATATTCTAAAAAGGAAGACTGGAGGCACAAAATTATAGATCAGTGTCACACATTCATTCCTTGTAAAATTCTGGAGAAAGCCATTTGGGATTAGAATAATGGAGTGTCTGGAGAAAGTAATTTTTATAACAATAAAGTAAGACCCCCCCACAGGTATAATGGCAGACACAGAAAGGCTAACCATTGGCATGCAACAAAACTGCATAGCATCCAAATGAAACTGTCCATGTGCCATTCAGCTATATTTTATAGAATATTATATACTGTATGTTTGAACTTAAGAGATGTTTAACAATAGAGTAGGAAACCTCATATGAGGTATGCTGTCACAGCATACATAGCAGCAGCAGGCTTGCAAGGAGGTATCTGGCCAATCCCAGATCACCGATTTGAGGTGACTGCCCAGGAATGTCCATACATTACCCGAGGCCCTCAAAAGGAGGCAACTTTAACCAGTTAACTGCAGACCTAAAAATTGATTAAATTTCTTTGCTTGTTTTTTCTGCATGTTAAGTGTTCGAGGGCTGATTCACCTGAACCCTTGGGTATCTTTGGGCTAAAGGTGTGGCAATGTTTATTAGTGGTATTGGCCTTTGTAGTTGTATCAGTAAAATTTAATCTGATGTTTCGATGCTTTTTCTTCTTTACACAGGTTGGTATATATAAGCAGATAACTTCAAACTCCAGTTAACAGGATTAGTCTCTCACTCCCACAAATTTTATATAGCATTACCCTAACACTTTTCCCTGGATTATGATCTGCCAATTGGCTTACAACATGGTCCTCAGTTACTGCTGGGTGAATAGTTAAGGATTGGTGACCCATCTTCTCTCCCTTCCCAGAGAGGTGAGTCGAGCCTAGCCCAAGGCCAGTGTCGGAGAGTAGTAGTAGTAGTAGTCCCGAAACCCTCCATGTGTGCTCTAGGAAGAGACTAAAAGATGGAAACCTTATGTCATTGAAAGAGAAAATAGTTAGTGGAGACATTACTAAAATCTAACATTTTCAGGAGAATTAACAGGACTCACAAAGAGCATACACATATTTAACACTTTTGCTCTCCGGCAACGCTCCTGGCGTTAGAATTTTTTTTCTCGAGTCCGAGTCGGTGACGCGAGCAGCGTCCACATTGGGCGTCCATAATATGTGTTAAAAATTTAAATTTTATCTGATCAATCTGAGAGTGGTTTTAAAATGAGCGTCTTTGAGTGCGCACAATTTGATACCAAAATGAAGGATGTAACAAGAAAATTGATGTCGGTACACTGGAAAGATAATACAGTAAATGCGTTTTTGGTCCAAATTTTAAAATAATTGTTAAAATTCTTTTTATTGTGCTATTATTATGGGACTAGTTTTAAAATGCGCGCCTTTAGATTGCGAACAATTTGATACCAAAATGAAAGATGTAACACGAAAATTGATTTCAGAACACTGGAAAGATATAAATAATTTTATGATGTGCATCCAAAATTATAAATATTTGTTAAAATTACATTTATTGCTCTATTATTATGGGACTAGTTTTAAAAAACACGCCTTTATATTGTGAACAATTTGATACCAAAATGAAAGACGTAACCCGAAAATTTATGTTATTAAACTGAACGAGTATACACATTTGGTTGCGGGTGTGCCAATTGGTGCTCATTCACAAGTAAATTTAAGCTTTGCTAAGGGGAGTCATGCCGGGCTTTTGGATAATATATGCATATACACCTGCAGGGAATTTAATTGCAAACATAGTGATACCAAAACTAATGACGTAGCATGAAAATTAAGGTGAGAAAACTGAAACGAGTATACACATTTTACTGATTTTGTGCGCTCACGGGTAACTTTTGCCGACTTTAGGCTTTGCTGTAGGAAGTCACGCCGGGCTTTTGGACCTTATATACATATACACCCGTAGGGAATTCTATTGCGAACACAATGATACTAAAATGAACAACGTAGCATGAGAATTAAGGTGAAAAAACTGGAACGAGTATACACATTTCAGTGTCGCCGCACGCTCGCCCGCACCGCCGGAGGCATGACGTCAAAGTTTGCAGCGCGCATGCCCGGGGTGCGAAAGTGTTAATTAATACCATATTTATATGCACACAAAATCATTACTTATTTTGTGGTATTTTATCTTTACAGGAATGAGCTGAGGACAAAGAACATGAAGAAAAAATTTGATGTGCTGAAGAAACAGCGAATAGAAAGAGCTTTGCTGGAGTCTCCTGAGAAAAAAACTGTAAAGAAAGGCTCAAGAAATGCAAAAAGTACAAGTGCAAAGAAGAGCAAAGAAAAAGTACCAGAAGATGGCATTCAGAGTTGGCTCAGGGAAGCCATTGATAATATGTCTGAGATGCTGTCTTTGTGCATGAAAAATGTAAAGACAATTGACTCCAAATGGAAAGAAAATAAATATTCCCAAGAAGCAACAGAAAAAGCTGGGAAGCGCATTATGAAACAGTTACATGCTGTTCGGAATAACTTTGAAATAATGGAATGTGAGTTGGAAAATAATGTTAAACAATTTACAGAAAGTGTGTCTTCAGGAAGTAAAGAGTTGACTGAAAAGCCTGATGTAGAAGCTGAGGACTGTAATGCACAAAGTACATCTGGTAAAGATTTAAATACATGCCAAGAGAGTGACGAAATAACTAGTAACTCAAAATTGTGTGAAGATAAGAAGAAAGAAATTCATAAGAATAAGAAGACCCAGAAAAAGTCTATTGAGAGTGAAGATAGTGATGGTGCAGGTAATGTTGAGGATAAAAGTAAAGTAGAAGGCAAAATGGATAAAGGCAAATGTTCCAGTGCAAAAGGTGCAAAATCTAACAAAGTAGAGGATTCACCAATGGAAGTTGATGATTGCCAAGATTCCAGTAAGGCTGCATTGAGCTCTGATGATGGTCATTCACTTCCAGATCTTGAAAACAATATAGGTGAAATGTTAAGTGATGGGAGTAATGATGTTGGTGCTCCAGAACATGACGTAAGTGATGAAGAAAATGAAGATGCATTTGATAGACTCAAAAAAGAACCTACGAGAAGAAGTACAAGATCCACAAGGTCCACCAGAGAGAGGGAGAAATTGAAAGATAAACAACCAGAGACCCGCCAGAAACGAAAGAATGCCCAGAGGTACAGCGAAGGGAATATGGATGACGATGATCTCAAAGATGACGCTAAATCTAGTGCAGAAGAACATAACGAGAGTGAAGGAGATTCTAAAAAGTCCAGAACTTCAAGGAGGCTGAGGAAGTTAAAAGCAGAATCCAATGATGAGGATAGTATTTTTTCTGAAGCAGAACTTAAGAAAAAATCTTCAACAAAATCCAAGAAGGACAAGGCCAGCACAATTGATAAGTCTGAAAGTGAAATTGACAATGATGATAATGATGATGAAAAGTTGAAGAGCAGTGTTAGTCAATCTGAGAAAAAGGATAGTGAAGAAAGTGAGGAAGAAAAGCCTGGGAAAGTGGAAAAAGATGTTAAAATGAAAGATAGCAAAGCTGATGAAAATGATGCAAAGAAAAAGATTAAAGTTCAAAAACAAGATGAGGAAGAGGAGAAGGAAGAAAAGGATGACAAAAATGTGAAAAATCTTAAGGATGATGACATTGATAATTGGAAAGGAGATATAAAAGAATTAAAAGAAGAAGATGGTAAAAGTAAAAGAGTTAAGGAAGTACCAAATGAAGATGATGATGAAGATAACCAAGATGATACAAAAACGACAAAGAATGATCTAAATGAAGATGATGAAAAAATGGAAGAAAAACAGGGAAGTGATGATGAGGAAGATGATGACAGGGTTAAGAAAACTAAGGAAAAGAAAAATACAGAAGATAAGGAAGGTAAACATTCCAAAAAAAGGCGACGACATGAAGAAAGGGGTGAAAAGAAAAGAGGTAATAAACATAAGGAAGATGAGAGGGTCCTGAGGAAAAGAAATAAGCCAAAGAAAGAAGAAGATAAGAAAATGGAAAGACTGAGAAGACATCAAAGAAGAGGCACAGAAAATAAAGATGAAGATTCTCAAGAATGCAGAAAATCAACCAGAAAACGAAACAAAAGAAAAACCAATGATGAGGATGAGGACGAAGATGTTCTCCTAGGACTTGTTGAAGATAGTTCAGAAAGTTCAGTAGAAGAAGACACCGATGAAGAAATGAGAAGACGAGAGGCAGACAGAGAGCCTGTTAAAAAGAAAAAGAGGAAAGCAAAGAAATCAAAGAAAGAATCTGAAAGGGAGGAGGATGGAGAAGAGGAGAAGGAAGATGGAGACGAGGAGAAGGAAGATGGAGACGAGGAGAAGGAAGATGGAGATGAGGAGAAGGAAGATGGAGACGAGGAGGAGGAAGGTGAAAAGGTGGAGAAGGAAGAGGATGAAGGTAAGGATCTGGATACAGTTAAAACTAAGAATAAAAAAAAATTAAGCAAACACAGTAAAGAAAAAGATGATGAAGAAGAAGAACAAAGTGAAAGCGAACAATATTATGGAAAGTCTTCTGAAGCGCACATAGAAGGAAATAAAGAGAAACATAAGAAAGCCAGCAGAAAGGAGCAAAGCAAAGAAAATCAGGAAAATGAGAAGGCATTATCTACATTGTTAGCCTCTGATTCTGGAGGGGAAGGTGAAACAAATGGTGAGGTTCAAGCTAAGAAAGAAAGTGATGAACCATGCAAAAAGATTGTTAGTGAAACCAGTTCTAATTCAGAGGAGAGCACAGCTGAAAAGAAAAAGAAAAAGATTAAAAAGAAATCAAAAGATGGCAAGCCATACGCAAAGAATGACAACCAGAAAGCAAAAGCTGCACTTCTAGAGAGCGAAAGTGAAGATGATCTTGAAGACAAACCAAAACCTCGCTGCAAAAAGAAGAACTATAAAAAATCTCTCAAAAAAGATGAAGTTGCAAAGAAGCAGTTAAAAACACTTAGAAAGACACTTACTGAGGAAGAAAGAGAAGAACTGAAAGAAAAGCAACTGAAGGACAAGTGTCAGGTGGACCTTACAGAACTTAGTTCATCTGTGAAGGACAAAATTAAGGAAGAGGATTTTGTTTATGTCACAGATTTCCCAGAGCTTTACTTAGGTAATAGACGTACATTTGACAGCGATGACTGTGATGCTGATGAAGAAGAATCTGACAAAGAGTTTACAAAGCTAATGAAGTAAGTACTGTTGTTTTTTCTTATATTCTTTTTATTTGTATTCTCTGTTTTTCTTCAGGTCTAAACTATTTGTATCTGTTTTACTGTACAGAGTGGTTCAAAAGTCCCCAACATAGGATTAGCAGTTTCTGGGTTCCTAGTTCACCTAGTTGTGCTTGCGGGAGTTGAGCTCTGCTCTTTTAGCTCGCCTCTCAACTGTCAGTCAATCAACTGTTACTAACTTCTATTCTTTTTATTTATTTTTTTTTATTAACTGTAGATTGAGAGAATATATTACAATGTTTTGACTACTGTGCAGCATATGAGCCATTTTCTTTTGGCTTATTTGCAAAACTTCTTGTAACAATTTTTTCTTTTCAGTTTCAAGATGACAAAGTACTCAAAACCTGCTCCCAAATGCAAGAAGAAGTTTGTAAAGTCAGAATCCGAGCAGGAGGAGGAAGGTGAAGATGAGGAAGGTGAAAATGATGATGTGGATGAAAAGGAAAATAAATCGAATAAGAAAGTAAAGAAGGAAGGGGCTGTAAAGAAGAAAAAAGAAGGTTTACTCGATATCAGCATTGACAAAGAAGATGAGGACGAGGACGAAGAGGAGGAGGACGAGGACGAAAATGGTGGTGATAAGAATAAAAAGAAGAAAAAAGAAGGTGGCATTTCATTAAATGAGAAAATGAAGAAGCAGATTCTGATGAGTAGTGATGAAGAGGACGAGGAGGATGAGCAGGATGGTTTGTGAAAATTACTTCATGTTGTGTAGTTTATTTTGTCTATTTATGTATCTAGTAAAATTACTGGGTTTGAGAGTTTTTAACAAAACAAAGTACTGTAGTGTTAGCTTGACGTATTTGTTTGAAATGGTTAAGACTTCAGTATATTGGTGAAAGTGCTTTCCTGTCAGTGCTCGGTTATCAGTGACTACGGGGGAGTGAAATCTGCTCTTTATGTCCTGCCTTCTAGCCATTTACAGTATACCGGTTAAGAAAAAAGTGGGCTGGTGATGGTCTTCTGTTGTCGCTTTATATTGTCTATTTATATTGATTGTTTTGGTGATGTTTGTGAGTATATATCTGGTGATGGTCTGGTTATGTACATAACCAAACCATCAACAACTCTATTTCCAAACCAGTATTTACACAGGTTCTGAGAGAATCTAAATTTAATTTAAATTTTTGTGTGTTCTATTTTATGCCGATACATTTTTGTACCAAGAATTTCTTAGTACTGAGAGATTAAATAACTGTATTTTATAGTTATGCCCGTCTCTCTCTCTGTCCTACAGAAACGCTGAAAGAAGATCCAGAGGAAGAAGAAAAGGAGAGAAAGAAATATGAAGAGAAAAAGCGAAAAAAAGAGGAGGAGAAACAACAACAAGGAAGTGGAGAGGAATCTGGGGAGGAGGTAATCATATGATACATGTTAAACAGCTGTGTTGAAGTACAGTACAGTATATCTAAACTGGATAGTTGACCTCACTGTTGTGGCTCGGCAGGAATGTTTAAAGTCAATCACTCAAACACATATCGATTCTGTCTTGATCAGTTGTTGCTACTCTGTTCAGAACTGAGTGTACTCATAATTCTGGCTTAGAATTTTGTTATTCTAATATTTTAATACCAGAATTAGGTATTAGTTAAAGCAATACCTTATGTTTCCATTAGAATTGATAACTAGAAGGGTTTGTGTCTGCAATATTTGGAGAATGTCTTGTGTATAAACTTGAATCTTTCAGTACAGTATATATGGTGATGAAAGAAGGGTCTGTTTGGTTATTGGGTGATGTAGCCTCCTAGGGACACAATTTATAACCAAATTAACTCAATATCAGCAAAGGGGAAGATTTGTGATATCCTGAGAATAAAGAAGATTAGTTGAACGAAGTTTTGTCCATAGTTGGAAATGGTCTCCATTATATATACTGTATTTATGTCCATAAATGTACATGTCCATAAATAGGAATATATTTACTCGGCCTAGTAAACAAGGCCTGATTTGCCTAATAGGGAGAGTGATTTTTGGTATTTTACCAAAAAAAATCTAATTTGCTTATTTGAATTAATATTATTATATTAAGAACATGAATTGCTGACTTAATTGTACTAATTTAAGTTAGGTTAAGATAGGTTAGGTAGGGTTTGTTAGGTTTGGTCATATTTCTATGTTAGATTTAACTCGAATTAGAAAATGAAACTCATATATAATGTAATGGAAAGCTTTATCATTTCATAAGAACAGATTAGAAAAATATATAACATCAAGAAAACATGGCTTATTAGGCAAATTGGGCCTTGCATAGTAGGCCAAGTAGCGTGTCCTGGCTATTAGGATATATATATATACAATATATATATAGAATTTTTTCTAGATATTCTGTGACATCTTTTATATATGCTCTGATGATGAGCAGCAGTTGTAGAGTACCCAAATGGATTTGACAGTTTGGATTTTTTTTTCAGTATGTTCCAAAAGTATACAAAAAAGGGTATATGAATTTAAATATATCGTCTGAGGATGAGGATGGTGCCGAGGATGAAAAGGCTGAAATTGAGAGTGATGATGAAAACGACAGCGACTTTGAGGAATCGTAAGTGCTATTAAACCAATTTTCATTTTAAGTTGTGTTAGTTCTCTACATTATTGCAGGTATGATTGTGCTTTATTGCTGTACAGTCAAGGGCGTTATGCAGATTTAAAATCACTTTAACCATTTATACTTTCATGAAAATGTTTTGTTTGATAATTCTTGGACTGCCAAGAACAATTTATATTATAATTGTTTATGGCAAATTTAGTTTTGAATAGTGCAGTTTTACAAAATGTATATTCATCATACTTGTGGCTAGCATTGGAAATTAGAACAAGTAGTGGAAGACTTATTGTATTCCATAAGATTCTACCCTTTTCCAAAAATGGCCAATGTGTGGTGCAGAATTTTGTTAAATGCTCCAGAAGTGTCTTTCCACCCCCTCTTACCGGTATTTCAGCAACCATCTGCCCTTACTTTTTTTTCTGCAGACCATTCACAGCATACATTTTCCTTGGGCTCCTGATACCTGTGTTGGAATTGGTCTTACCTTCCTCTCTAGGTGCTTCTGGTTTCATCCCAGTCAGTTCTCTGGTCCTCTGTACTGTCATTGGCAATTTCCTGGACAAAAGTGTCTTTGCAGTTACTTCTTTGGCCCTCATGGTCTCCCAGCTGTTTCTGATTTCGAAGGGGACTCTGGATTCTTGTTTAACCCTTAAACTGCACAACATGTCATATGACGTGTTGAGTAACTTGCTATAAATTGCGCATCACGTCATATGACATGATGGAGATCCGCGCAAGATGTTCCCCGACACAATAAATTATTAAATTATTATGTGGTTTATATATCTGAATAGTAATTAATACTATACTTTTTTCTGTTTCTTCTAGGCCCAGGAAGAAGAGATCATTCCAAATATCCTCTTCAGACAGTGAAGATGATAAGAAAAGGAAGAGAAAGAAGGCTTCTTCTTCAGATTATAATAGGCGAGTGAATTTGATCAATGAAAGGAAATTTCCTTTTGTTCACAAAATCTAATGCTATGATTAGATAAAATAATGTTTATTCAGGTAAAAGCACATACATTCAAAATGAATTACAAACATAATGTTGGATTACTAGATAGAACTAGTACAGTACATTTTGTTGACCAGACCACACACTAGAAGTTGAAGGGACGACGACGTTTCGGTCCGTCCTGGACCATTCTCAAGTCGATTGAGAATGGTCCAGGACGGACCGAAACGTCGTCATCCCTTCAACTTCTAGTGTGTGGTCTGGTCAACATACTTCAGCCACGTTATTGTGATTCATCGCCTGCATATAGTACAGTACATACTATGCCTAAAGCCAACATGCACAGCGTTTCGGGCAAATTAGATAATACAGTGCTTACTAATTCCCCCTTTCAAAGTTATCTTCCACTGAACAAACCGCCTCAATTGTACCCAGTGATCTATTGATGATTACTCTCAATTTTTGTTTCTTTCTGTATGATGAATAAAGAAAGATGAATATGAATACATTTCATGCATCAAGAATGAACTTAGATTTTTTCCCCTCTATGCAGTGAAGACGAAGAAGACTCTGATAAACCAAAGGCCAAACGAAAACGGATAAAGAAAATGACATCGTCGTCAGATGATGATGATGAAGACGACGAGAAAAATAAAGTAAGCTCATATAAATTCAGACATGAAAAATACTTAGACTATAGAGTCTGCAATGTAGATTTCTATTCTTGTGGATTGAGGAGACTTTGTCTTTCCTGAACTTTTGGTGATTGCTTCCATTCTGGTCAAAGCTTTGTTTCTTCAGAGCCAGTTATTCCAGTGTATTGGTTTTCTTGGTGATTCACAGTATTTCTTAATCTGATGAGGTGCCGGTCTGGTTTTAACTTTCTTGTGTGCGATAGGTTATATTGCTGGTCTTAGAATCTGGTCGAGTTCTCATCTTCAGCATGAGCTTTTTAAATGGTGGCAAATCAACTTTTTCAGTGCCTTGTTTGCTGCCTTGTTTTGAAAGCAGGGCCTGCCTTGGATCGTGTTGTGGTTCTGTGGTCATTTGTCTATTCTGGTTTTGTTTACATGTTTTGCTTTGATGTTACCTCTTCGTTTCCGAGCTCATGCCTTTGTGATCACTCAGTCCATGATTTCCTGTGACTCCTTTGTAGCCCTGATTGGTTTCTAGGGTGTTTCCCTCACCTTTGGAGATGTAGGAAGGCACTGGTGTCCTATGTCCTTTCTCCACTTTGACAGGCAACTCTGTGACTGAGTTGGGGAGGGTTGTTGATGTTCTTACCTGTTTTAGGGCTATCCTCCATTTTCTTTCTCCAGGTCACTGTTTCTTGCCCCCACTGATCAGTGGGGTTGAGGTTCGTCAGCATCACTTGTCTGGCTTTCCCCCATCGCTTTCTTCCCTATTGTCTCCTCTCCTAGTATTGGACATTTGGAAGGGCTCTCCCGCACAGTCTTCTGTTCTCTGTGATGGTGGTGGAGGGGGAAAGGTTCCCCTCATCTTCCTTGAGGCTTCTGGGGGCACCACTCCCTCTTTGTGTTTGTATGCTTCTGGGTGGCATTTTTGGTTGCCTGTAAGTATGCTGCTTTTAACCAGTAGGCTACACATTTGCTGGTGTCCTCAGCGGTATTGGTTCTCTGTAATGCTATGTATTGTTTAAGATATTTTTCTTTAAATGGGTGTTCTTTATTACTCATTATTATCTCTAATCTCCAGTCTGTATTGCTCTTCTTTTCCTCATGGTTAATTCCTTTCAATTCTGTTTAATTGGAAAAGGGGTTGCGGTGGTGATGACTCTTAACCTATAAGAGTACAAATTTGAATGAGAAATAGTACTGACTTAATAATGTATGTTTGATGACAGAAATGAGTTAAGAAAGTTTTAGTGATGGTTTGTATGTTCTTTTGCATCTAAAAGGAATAGAATCTAATTCATGTGTTCTGCTCCTTAGCAATGAGGTACCTGGTGTGATTAGTCTTAGTTTTTTAGTTCTTTATTATACCTTGTGAATTGAGGTGATTTACACTACCTTGGCTTCCAATTTATTCCGCTTGCTTACAACCCGCACTATATGTGAATACCTTGTCTTTGACTTGTTTGCATCTGACTTCTATCTGTACCTTCCCTCGTTACATTTTATTTATAAAGAATAGACTGTGTCCACCTCAACTATCCCCCTCCTATTGTATGTGTTGTGAAATGTCACCCTCTTGTCTTCCTCTCTCCTAGTATTATTTGGTTGATTTCAATTAGCCTATCTAGAAATGTTCTGGCTTTATTTATAGAAACAGATTGTAAAATCTGAGCATGAGGATCTTGTGCTTCATATGGTTGGGTTTCCATGCCAGCACACTAATCTATTCAAATAAACTCTCTGAATAATTCCCTGGTGAGAAAATTGTTTGGGAATGATAAGAAAATATACAGAAGTGGTATACAAAGGTTAGAGTGATGGGTATGTATCCTCCATTGTAAAGTGTGTCATGAAGTACAGCTATAAGAATAGACAAAGTTTTTTTTTAATGAAACTGCATGGAAACTGTTGTTACAACCATTTGCTGTATATAAAACAATCGGTTCTGTAATGAAAATACGTAAACCAAGTATTGTTTAAAACTTAAACCATTAAGGTAGATAATATGTTTTAACAGGAAGAGTCTCCTAGCAAGCATAAGAAGATTCGACGTGTGATTCGAGATGAAGACCTTTTGGAGACCACCAAGAATGCCACACAGGAAGAAGAAGAGCGACGTAAACGTATTAAAGAACGCCAGAAGCAGGTACAGGATGTTACAACTTTGTTGTATCCTTTATTAATATTTAATATTTTTGTTTGTTTCTTGTCTAATTTTGTAAACTGATGGGTATTATCAACCTTGATTCATTGTATTGATACATACGTATGTATGCTTTCATCTAGTGTAAAGTCATCCTTTTTTCTGGATGGTTGCTGGTCTCCAGACATTGGTATTAAAAGAATAGAGGCATTATTTTTGCACCAATGCATAGACCGTAACTACAAAATGCCGTTATTTTCTCTCTCAAAATTAAGGAGTTAAGTTCGCTCATGCAGATGTACAGTCTTTATCTTTTAAACTGTGGTTATCATCAAAATTTCCACCCTTGCTGTTAAGAACAAAATAACCTCATTATTTTAGTTATTTTTATTATATGAAAGGGGGAAGATTATATCCAAAAGTATGGACAAAATCATGTATCTGCCATTTTTTTTTCTGGATTCTTGGATCCAGAATGTGGATATGAATATGGACAAATTTTCAGTTCTTCCTCTCAATTATAGTAACTAGATGGATGTCTGGTTAAAGGGGTTCCATTGTAATTAGGAAATCTTTGCACTTCCTGGCAAAATGTAACAACAAGTATCCTAATCTAATCTAATCTAAATGAGTCTGTCCTACTTTCACACCATAAAGGATGTGTATGATTACAAGTCTGGAAGTGTAAACAAACAAACAAAAACTGCTAACAAATCTATTATTTATTCATATTTTGCTTTCATTTATGCAGTATATCATGAGAGATCCTGATTTCATTTATGGCCAAGTTTGGTAACTGCTAAGCTTGGAATAATTTACATACCTCTTTGAAAATAAGAATTAATTGCACGTATTGTATTCATAGTGTAAAGTGTTTTATGGCAATTTAATCCATAATTTAATGTTAGGTGGACTGATAAATATTTTTAGATGCCCAAAATTCTGCCTATTTTGTATGCATGATGTTTACTTACTGATTTGTTACTGATATAAATGTTTGTTTTTAATGGATTCATTATGATATAATATTTCTTGTCTTTTACAGTACAACCAGATATTTGAGATTGATGTAGAATCTGATCAAAAGGAGTTGGGTAAATTAGTCTTGGACTTTGACCCAGAAACTAAGGCAGAACTTGTGTCTGTTCATGAGAAGCTGGTTAAGTTCTTAAAACCTCATCAGGTTAGTATTGTTACTTGAGTGTGTGTAAACTACAAAGTATTACAAATAAATAAATGGCTACTGATCGTGTATGTTGAACTTTGTTTATGTATAGGGATGCCATAGTGTGATCACAAACTTATTAGACAAACTGTTAAAATTGTGTAAATTCGTGTTTTTCATGACCACAAGAAAGCCTATGTTTTCAGGAACATTTTAAGATTTATTTGTAAGAACTAGGCAGATATCTAGTCATTTCTTTCAACAACAATACATGAAAGGTTTCCATTTGATTTTGTTGAAATTTCCAAAAAATATTGTAACAGATGCTACAAAAGTGTTAATACTGTATTATAAATTTTTGGGTAAATTTTTTCTAAAAAATTTAACAAGATTTAAAATGAACCACTTTTATTGAAACACATCTGAGCTTTCCAATAATGCCGAACAGATGTAATTCCAAGAGCAATTGTATTTCAACACATACTCAAGGAATGCAGACGGAAAAGACATGGGTTTGGGATAATACAACCACTACACCTGAGTAAATTAATTAAGCACCATAAACATAATATCAAATAATGGAAGTGACATGACTGATTGAGAAGCAAGACTAGAAACACGCTTAAGGTGCAGGACTTGGGGTCATAGACCCAACAGGCAGCTTGGCAGTGGCAAAGAATGACGGCTGGCCAGTAACAGGACTGACAAGCACCCTACAAACTCTTAAGATAGTGAATATGGACTAGATGAGTCAAAATCAAAATGAGCCACACTCTACACCCACAGGGAAATTTTCAGGGCTTGAAGAGAACTAGCTAAACAGGACACCCCCCCCCCCCTAAGCACTGGGGACACATGCCAGAAGAACAGACACTGAATGCAGTATGAATAAATTTATCGAGCTGCACAGGGCAGCTATGCAGCATGCCCTGTAGAGCATTCATTCAGCATGCAGAATGAACAAATTCCCAAACCCCAGTACACTCCAAGTGAATTGAATGCCCCCCTGACCACAGGCCTAAACAAAGAGGTCAAAAACTCTTATATTACTTGAGGTAAGTCACTTCACCCTGGTGGCCTGCACCCTAGTGACCTGGTTTGGAAAGGGTGAACACTGGAATTCACTAAAGTAACTATCAGTGCAGGGGTAGTGCTAAACCCTGAACACATGTAGCTTGAATCACAAAACAAGCAAATTCCACACAAGATGCTGGATAGAAATATGCAAGTGAAGAAAATACAGAAAAATGAACAATAACACAAGCAAATGGCCCCCATAGGATAAAGTTCAAAGACTGCCTGCACTTAGAAGCACAGGGACCCACTGCTATTGATGGCCATTGGAGCACTACAGTGGTGTTGAAGGTGAAGTGTCACCTGCTTTCATCACCTCTGTGAGGGGGCCAGGTTCTGGTTGTGGTACCCGGTAGGCCAAATAAAACTTCTGCAACCGACATGACCTAATAGATAAGAGCAATCATGGCAAGATCACTTCAAGGAACGACCAAGGGGCTCCTCCAGAAAAGAAATACTAGGAAGTATTTTTCCTCAAATTGGAGTGGAAAGTGGTTGAAATAAAATAAACAAAGTTCATGTTGTAGTTATATGATCTAATTTATTGGCTGTTTTTGTTTTAATTTTAAATGTTGGTTTTCCATGCAGTTCAAAGGAATAAAGTTCATGTGGGATGCAACTATTGAGAGTCTAGAAATGCTGAAAGAAAATACTGGCAGTGGCTGCATTCTTGCCCATTGTATGGGTCTGGGCAAAACTCTACAAGTAAGTTAGTCATTATACTGATGAGTTGCCTTGGATTAAATACTAGTTTAATTAACACAAATACTTATGATTATTTTATGTATGCATATATTTGTATATATTCAGTATATATTTTTCACAACTTTATGAAATTTATAATTATTTGGTAACATTTGTTTCTTTAGGTAATCACCTTTGTCCACACGTTGCTGTTAAGTAAGAAGACCAACAGGCATATTCAGAGAGTTATGGTGTGCTGTCCAGTCAACACTGTTTATAACTGGGTCAGTGAATTCTCCAATTGGCTCAAGGGGAAGATGTTACCATTTGATGTCGTTGAGCTTGCTTCGTAAGTATCGGGCTTCTTTAGTTCTGTCTGTCTGGTTTGCCATGTTTTAATATTACTGATGATATCTGGATTTGCAAGCGAGTTAATTTTATCGCTTTTTTTCTTTAAGTAAATAGGGAAGGACTTTGGGTGAGTGGGAGGCTTAGAAGTTGGCAGAGCTCTTTTTAAATACAGTACTGGGAAATGTTTTTATGTATGAAATAATTCATGTGTAAGAGTTAATGGTGTGATACGTGACTGGTTTGATATTATTATTATAGGTGTGTGGCAGGGTTATGTGCTGGTTGATAAATAAGTATATGGATGGGGTCATGGGACAGATTAAGGCAGGAATGTTAAAAAAAAGCTGTAAACTTGATGAAACTGCCTAAAAGGAGCAATTAAGAGTTTCACTCACTGTCATACCTTCAACTTCTATGTGGCCAATAATTCCTCTCTAAAGATGTAATTGGTACCTTCCACGTGGCCATTAATTACTCTCTCTCGAAATAAAGTGCCAACATAGTCGGCAGCTGAAAGTGCAGTAACTACTGTGCTCCTCTGGATGTCTTGACAGTCCACTGTGGTGTTGGCAATTTCCCAGGTACCGAGGAATTATGCTCTAAATCACTGAATTCATTCCCCTTATCACTGGGTACATCCCAGGATCACCAGGGACATGTCTTAAGATTTCTGGGGAGTGTCATTTGTTAACTGGAATATTCTCCACATCACTGGGCAGTGTCCAGGGTAGAGCAGTTTTTCTCAATAGTGGGCTGATCTTTTTCACATGCTCCCTGATCCTTTACAGAGGTCAGATGTATGGAATAGTGCTTCCAGTGGGGGGAGTAAGTCACAGGAGCCTTTATACTTCAATACCATAAACTAGGGGTAGTTATTATGGACCACCCAGAAAAGGTCTTTTCATAACTCACTATGCTCTATTTTTTCATTTATTCTCTTAAAACATCTCATATAATACAATTATTTTTGTATTATAAAATTAAATGCTTCATAGTATTCCCAGGTATAAAGGTAAACAGTAATTGTCCCAGGCATGAAAGTAAATGGTAATGAAAGTGCTGAAAAATATAGCATCACTATGTGGAAGGTTTTTCACATAATAGTATCAACTGATTTTTGTATTTTTAATACGGTATATACTTTTCCAGAGCCAAAGATTTATGGGGTCGAGCATATCGCCTTGATGACTGGTGGCGGGAAGGAGGCGTGTGCATTATAGGCTATGACATGTTTCGAAATCTCTCAAATAGCAAATGCAAGCGGTATAAAGGCAAGATGAAAGAGATCTTCCAGAAAACACTAATAAATCCAGGTATGTTTCATCTTTATTTACCTTGTAATTAGGCATTCAAGTAGGGCAAAACTGTGTGTTTTACTGAGGGATTCTACACTTTCCTTATCTACATTCTAAGACTTTAGACCATTTCTGAGCTATCTCATTAGGCTAAATCTGAAGGTCTGGCACATACATGGTATTGCAAGATAACATTCTGGGTCAGTATACATGAAACATTTATATTTCTGCTTACGAAAACTGTACTTCTTTCCTCAATCTTGGCGGCTTAGTTTGCTTTATTAAACAATTATGAACTCTGAAGCACAATGGGATTGTGCATAACAATAATAACCTTGGATCAAGTAATGGAAAGGGGAAAGGTAAATGCTTAATAAATCCTGGTCCTGGCTCTTTGAAGTCGGTGGAAACCTTCAGTCTAGCCTAGAATAACTATTGGTGGCTCATTCTTAAGGGCTTTGAACCGTGTGTATTAATAGGGGTAAAAAAATGTTTCCATGAAATTTTATTGAATGAATGCATGCAATAAAATGTCCTCTTTGTCCAGGTTTCGCCACTAACCTAAATTTAAAAAAATAATTACAGTTCCACCAAAAAAGGGCAAGATTTAACAAATTCAAAAAGTTCACTTGACTCTGTCAAGGTGGTGATGTTGGTCCTTTGAGTCAAATATGACCATGACTTTTAACACTTTGCGCTGCCCAGCATGCACATTTCCCAGGCCCACCCCAAGGTGAGCCTGGCATTTCCCGGGAGTGTGCACCTACACTAAGATGTGTATCCCCTTTCCAGTGTTTTGATCTCAATTGTCATTAAAGGCGCGCATTTTAAAGCTTGTCAGAATAATAATCGAACAATAAATGGAATTTTAACAAATATTATAATTGTGGACGCAACATGTGTTGGTGCCAGACATCCATGATGTTATTTATGGGTGCAGTTTCTGTCCCCAGTTCGCAGAAAGTGTTAATATATCAGGTCAAAGGTCGGTGTCTGTGTGTCAGAAGATGGATGATGAGACCAATCTGGGTCTGGAAGGTGCCACACATGGTACATATGTGGGTGAGTGCTGCTATAGAAGTGGAGGTTGCTCTAGCTTTGTGCACAGCATGTTTCCTCTGGGCCTCTGCAGCCTGTCTGTTCTCTGCTGCACAGGCCCCTGTGATGGCTTTGCTTCTCCAAGTTGGACGGTCCTGAGCAAGCATCTCCCAAGTGCTGGGGTTGATGTCCAGGTATTTGAGGGTGACCTTGAGGCAGTCCTTATATCGTTTCTTCTGCCTTCCAATTGAATGCTAGCTCTGACATAATTCTCCATACATCAATTGTTTTGGCAATCAGCTGTCAGGCATTCTGACAACATGGCCTTCCCAATGTGGCCTGAGTTGTCTGTAGGAGAGCGTAGGTGCTGGGAATACTGGCCCTTTCCAGGACCTCTGTTTTCGGGATTTTGTCATGCCACCTGGTGCGGGGGAATCTGCGGAGACACTCGAGTGAAAGTGATTGAGGTGTTTGGCATGTCTGCTATAGACAGTCCAGGTCACGCTGGCATTGAGAAGGGTGGTGAGTACCACTGCACGGTAGACCTTCAGTTTGGTGGTAAGGCTGATCCCTCCGTTCCCAGACATTCTCAGGGAATCTTCCAAAGGCAGCACTGGTCTTGGTGATCCTGTTGTTGACATTTGTGTCTATGTTCACTGTTCTTGAGAATATTTCTGGCTCACTCAGAAATTAGTGTTTCATTTCATTTAATGCTATATTTTCTTGCATGTAATTAATTATCTTTGGAATGTCTGAAAATGTTGAATTTTGTGGCTACCTTGTGGAAATTTAATAAGTAAATTGATTTTGTTATTAACACTTTCGCGCTATCTGGACGCACCGGCGCGTCCCGTTTCGTCTAACGCTAACGCATATGGACATAAAGTTGAGTCCTCTTTTAAAATATTTGTATAAAATTCAATTTCTATCCGATTTACTTTGGGTTTGTTTCAAACTGCGCGCTATGAGGCTCTCTTTCTCACCACTAGGCTGCATGGTACAATAAGTTCATGAAAGGTGTGGATAACTTCGATCAAATGGTGTCCCAAACGGGTTGCAGGTGGGTGACTTTAGCCGTTATACAATGCTTCCCCCATATCATGTATTATATGCATATGTCTGTTTAGGGAATTTTATTCCGATCAATATACAACCAAAAATAACTGTGTGCAACAAGTATAAACTTGACAAACATAACAAAAGTAAAAACATTTCGTGTGTGTTTGACGCTCACTGATATGTTCCAGCGTTGTTTTATATTTGGCGCTATTCTAACTTACGCTTTGTTGATATTTTTTACCTATGGGCACATAGAACATTCTATTGCGAACACATTGACACAAAAATGAATGACGTACATAGAAAATTAATGTCATGAGAGTGAAATAAGTATAAACTTTCAAAGCGCCGTGCGTCGTCCCGTCACCGATACCGGGTAACAATTTCACAACTTCCCACACTCTTGCGGGCGGGCCGCATCATTATTCTACGCTTATATTCATATCACCGTGTTGGGAATTTCATTGCGAGTCCATTGATACCAAAATTAACGCTGTAGAATAAGTGTGGAGGTGATTACAATCCCAAGAGTAAAAACATTTTGTTGCTGATGGGCGCTCACGGCGAGTCATCTTCGTAGTTATTTATTTGGTGCTGGTATCCCTATACGTTTCGTGACTTTTTTTACTGATATTCTTCTAGAGAATTTTATTGCGAACACGTTGGTACCAAAATGAAATACGTAGCATGAGAACTAAGGTCAGAAGAGTAAAAAGAGTATACACATTTTTGTTTTTACGCTTAAGCGATAAAAACGCTGCGCGCACATTCGGTTGGCTGAGTGACCTTTGCGGAAAGCGCGAAAGTGTTAACATTTAACAGCATTATATATGATTGTGGCTCATGAGATATACCATGGTAGGAATTTGGTCACCATTATGTGTTGTATAAAATTTCTCATTATTCTGCTTATTGACAGGTCCGGACTTGATGGTTTGTGATGAAGGTCATATACTGAAAAATGAGGCTACTGCACTCTCAAAGGCAATCACTCAGATTAATACAAAAAGACGTATTGTGCTCACTGGTACTCCTCTCCAAAATAATCTTAAGGAATGTAAGTGTTGTCTTAAACTCAATTAATTAATAACCAGGCTCTTATATAAGTCAGGCTCCTATTTGTGTTAATTTATATTATTTGTCTTGTTGCCTTATATTTCTTCTTCTTCTTTAATCCCACTATATGTACAGTACTGAATATTTCTCACCAATTTTCCATTCTACTTTATTTCCGCCTTGTAATTAATTTATTCACCAAATTCTTTCTTTCTTGTCTCATGTCTGCTGTTCTAACAATACTGTACAGTGAAATTGTTCAATTTCAATAAATTGTTACTTTGTCTATTAATTTCCATTATACATTAAAAAAATTAGTCCTGTTACTAACTGCTCTTGATATTTTCTGCCAGAGAAATACATGTACCTGTATTTGTAATAATTCCAGATCACTGCATGATCCAGTTCGTTAAACCAAATCTTCTTGGCACGAAAAAAGAATTTATGAATCGTTTCGTTAATCCTATTGAGCAAGGCCAGTGTGTTGATGCCATGCCTCGAGATGTCCGGAGGATGAAGAGAAGAGCTCACATTCTTCATAACCTATTAGAAGGGTGTGTACAGGTGAGTGGAGATTACGGAAACATTGTTAATTATAATAATAACCTTACACCAGTTTAACTTTTGTAAACAAAAAATGTATTAAAAGAATGACTTCAGAATCACTGAGTATAGCTTTTATGCCACGGCCCATAAATATTAAGGACAATTTAAACAGGTGATTTACTACACACAAATGTGTATAGAATAAAGTTCACTATTACAGATTACTTGATGTGAGGTTATGTAATATATTACACTAAAGGGAGTTACAATTTATCATCTAGTACAGATTAATAGGGCCTCACACAACCTTCAAATTATGTGAAAATGTATTAAAAGAACTCTGACAAAGAAAGAAATCTGGGGTTGGTTCCAGACAGTAAACTCTAACCAGTTAACCACATAAAGGGCAGTGTGAGGGGTCAGCTTACACCACACTTACAAATTTCAGGATTGCTTTTAAATACTGTACATGGATGGTGAAATATTAAAGAAACTGTTCATGACTTTTGTGATACCAAAATTGAAATAAGCAGCAGTCATATGGTGCCTATATCTCAAGTACATAAACTGGAAAAGGTGCAAAGGCCTGTACAAAATGGCTTCCAGAACTGAAAAATAAGAGTTATGAAGAGAGGCCAGAGGTGTTAAATATACCAAACTAGAAGATAGAAGAAAAAGAGGCGATATGATCACCACTTATAAAGTAATAACAATATTTTGATTTTCTACTGTATACCAACATAGATGAGGCGAGATAAAAAATTCCTGGATTTTATTGACATACAGAAGTGATGAAAAGTGCCTTGGATGAGAGGGATAGAAAAGGTGGACAAGGATATAGTTTTTAAATGGAAAAATCACAGCAACAAATGAGTCCCGGGTTCGATCCCGGGCGCCGGCGAGAAACGATGGGCAGAGTTTCTTTCACCCTATGCCCCTGTTACCTAGCAGTAAAATAGGTACCTGGGGTGTTAGTCAGCTGTCACGGGCTGCTTCCTGGGGGTGGAGATCTGGTCGAGGACCGGGCCGCGGGGACACTAAAGCCCCGAAATCATCTCAAGATAACCTCAAGAGTCAAGGAAATGTACAAAAATTCTGTTTAAACTAAATGGAATGTAGTATATATACTAAATGGAATGTAGTATATAATGGTATACCTGCTAACAAGGTAACCAGGTAATGTGCTGAAAATAGTAGTTTCAGAGGTCACTTCTATCCTCAACTTAAAATTCAGATATGATATAGAATTGGTACATCAGTAAAGTAAATAAAACTCACCATGTAGAACCAAGCCAGTATCTGGGGCATAAGTAACTAAGCTGGAGTGTATTCGTGCATTTTTTTTTGTTTAGGGGTAAGAAAAGGTGTAAAAGCTATGTACAGAATATTTACTGTGTGTTTGACCTTTAAAGCTTATTTACTTTCTTGTAATAAGTTTATTTATAAAAGATGTGTTCAATAATTACATTTTACAAAATATTATCTTTTCAGCGTTTTGATTACACAGTCTTGAAGCCATTCCTGCCTCCAAAGTTTGAATTTGTTATATCAGTTCAGCTGTCAGAGATCCAATGCAAGCTATACCAATATTATCTGGATAATCTGGCACAAGGTGGTCCCAAACGTCAAGGATCAGGCTTGTTTGTGGACTTCAATTGTCTCTCCAGAGTCTGGACTCACCCTAAGGTCTTAGAGTTGGCTGTCAGAAGAGCATTGGTAAGTTACATCCCTAGTTAAAGAAGTTAATCACAGCTCAAATACCAACAGCATAAATAAATTAATAAAATTAAGGATACAGCTGGGGGAGCCGGTCAGCCGAGCGGACAGCACGCTGGATTTGTGATCCTGTGGTACTGGGTTCGATCCCAGACACCGGCGAGAAACTATGGGCAGAGTTTCTTTCACCCTATGCCCCTGTTACCTAGCAGTAAAATAGGTACCTGGGTGTTAGTCAGCTGTCACGGGCTGCTTCCTGGGGGTGGAGGCCTGGTCTAGGACCGGGCCGCGGGGACACTAAAGCCCCGACATCATCTCAAGATAACCTCAAGATAGCTGTACAATGATATATATTCAATTTACTTGTTGTCATTGCACGGCTGTTGAATGTTAATAGATATCTGCTCTTAACGTGCAAAAGAAGGATAGCCTTCACCTTTATTTACAGTTCACTCTACAGTATTTGTTTACCACCCTCCTCTGCATTTAAGTACTTTTGTCTTGTACTCATTTTTGTGGATACCTTTCACCTCATTCCTTTTTCTCTTCATGAAATACTGTTCTAGTCCATTGCACCTGTGTCTTCATTGTTTATTTCCTTTATTTCTGGCACCAATTTTATAGACTAAGTGTAGAAAGGCAATGGTGTAGGTAACGTAGAGTAAAATTGGCTGAGAAATTCTACTTGCTTACTTTTTTCACTATACTGTACTATGAAAAGGTTAAAGATTTATATAATTTAGATCACAATCAGTATTATAAAATAAAATATAATAAACAAAATCATACAGGTTGTGATATGAAGAAAATGAAGTCCCTCTTCACTTACAATGCCCTTCCCTCCTCGGGAACAATATTCTCATTGTACAGATTGTTCCTTTTGCTCATTAGTCAAGTAGAAGTTGATTGTAACACTAGGTAATAAATATACTTTTCAAGAATAATGCAGGACAAAACCCGAGACCGAGACAGTCATGGTCCACATAGTGCCATGAACAAACATTAGGATTGGAACTGGACCATATACCAGTTATTGTTGGTTTATTTAAGATGCTGCTGAAAGTGAAGAGGAAAGTGCCTCTTCACTTTCCCAAGTGCCTCGTCTCTCCCACTTGGGAACCATAATAACACTCCAAATTTTCTCTGCCATACTTTTTTTTACCAACCAAATTTTGTTCATGTAACTGTCTTTGGTTTTTGCTCAATTTTACTATACAGGTATTTGTTTCCTTTCAGTTTAATGATGAAGAAGAAGAATTGGATGATTTCATTTGTGATGACACGACCACCTCTGATTCTTCAGAAGATGAAAGATCAAGAAAGAAAAAGAAGAAGAAAGAGAAGAAGAAGAATGAGGAGTCTGAGGAGGAAGAATTAAAAGTAGAGGAGTTTGAAAAACCTGGTAATATGTTAGTTCATGTAGGGCCAGTTGTTAAGGCATTATATTTTATAAATATTATCTACGGAATGTTACGATGAAATACGGGACTAATGCTATCTGTGACTAGTCTTGATTTTACAAGCAGTCATATTCTAACTTTAAAAGTAAATTTACACTTTAAAATGAAGATTACAATTTATATCACTTCTGTATTATAATTTTCACTTGCCCAAATAGACTTCCTTAGTTCTAAATATTGAGTCTAAAATATATTAAATAATAATTTAAATTGCTAGTGAATGTATGATGAGCCATTTCCCCTTGCTATGCATTTTTATATTTTAATTAGCTAAAGTCTAGCCCTCAGTCACTTATGACATTTGTTGGTACTGGTACTGTATTTTAAGGTGCCATAAAAAGAGGCAAAATTCACTTTGATTAAAAAATAACTGATAAGCAGCAACAATGTATACAAGTAAGTACTCTTGATAGCTCTAATCTTCAGGTAACTGGAATAAATTCATGCTCAACATTTTGAGTAAACAGCAGAGGTAAGCAGGTAAATGATAAAAATGCCAGGGTAAATGACAGGAGTGCATGGATAAACTGTAGGAGTAACTGGGTTGCTGTACAGAAAATTGTCAATGCTCTATGTTAATTTTTGGACAATGCCGATATGAAATTCGGCTAATATGAATGGGGGTGGGCCCCATGTGATTCGGATTAGTGAGTGTAGATAGTACTATATACTTGTATGCTGTATGTGTATACAGAATATTAATAGATTTTTAATTATAAAGTCTCCAAAAATTAACCAAATATTTTCTCTGTGCCTGTTGTGGATTTAAACAAGGCCAGATCAGTGCAGAATCAAATCTGACACAGTAGTAACAAATTTATTGGTGGCCAAAGTTAGGGTGCATATCATGTTTGGTGGTTGGCTACTGCAATGCTGTTATATCATCCATTTGTAGAGGAATTTCACCAGTATAATTAGGTGTATTATATTAATAACATAGTGTGGTCATATACATCAGTACCTTTTCATAGTATAAACCATAACAAATCAGAATGATTTTGCTATTGAAATTATTGTTCAAAGTTCAAAGCCAATCATTTTTTCAACTTAGGTAATTGTTATTTATTTTGCTTTTAGTATGAAATGTTTAGCAAAATTGCACATTATTTCTAAGCAGGGCTCTTCTGATAGCTTCTATTTGCCATTAAACTGATACTGCTGATACTAGATCCATGGGACATTGAATGTCCCGTGGATCTAGATGACTTTGTCACTCAAGGGGTGTGGGGACAAACTGCCTCTAAATGTTTTTTGACAACACTGAATTGCCAAGAATCACTATGAACTATTTAAGCAATCGCTATCAGTCACCCCCAGCTGTCCCCTTGTGTCAGCCCAAGTAACAAGAGGATTTGGGTAGGAGGACAACTCAGTTGGTAGACTAGCACCCTAGTGGGTGCATCAGCTCTTCTAGAGACCATGTTCAAGAATTATCTCTAAATTTGTTGTATTTATTTCATTTGCAGGTCCCATTCCTGGGTTAACTGAGAGTGGTAAAGTGCGTGTTGATTGGTGGAAAAAAGTAATTGATGACAATATTTCCAAAGATGAAGACGAAGCTGACTTTTTAGACAAACTAGAGCATAGTGGTAAACTTATACTTCTGCTCGATATCCTACGAGAGTGCTCTTCCATTGGTGATAAAGTGTAAGCTTAGGTACTTTTTGTTTGCATGATCACTTTATTCTGGTTTTTCCTTCATTACATGGCATATATGACAATTGTCATTATATTTATTTTTTATGTTTTTGTGTGGGTGTAGGTGTGTGTGTATTCCTTTACATGATATAAAAGCACTATGTTCCTATATTTTCTCAATTTGCCTTTCCTGTAAAGTGATTTTTTTCAATTTGGCACAATTGATAATCATACTCCTTGGTAGTGGTGTATAAAAGTATATGATGACTATATTTACCACACTGGTGCGAAAACAAGAGACAGCCGCAACAAATTATTAATTAATAGACAAGATGGTCTAGGGCAGTCTGTGAAATAAGTGTTAACCCTCAAACTGCTAGATGACCAGATGCATCAGGTGACAGGAAATGTTGCCAGATACTTCTATCCTGCTGCAAGAATTGAGCCCAAGACCTTTCATCTGTGACTTGACTGTACTGACCACTAATCCACAGGTGGTGCCCATTCTCTTGGTGATGGATCTGTTTATTGGTTGCATCTGTACATGAACACTATAATCTGGTCTCATGTTTTTAATTCAGTTTGATCCTATAATTCTCCCACAAAGTTATATAGGAATTAGTTTACCACACGTGCTACAATTGACATTTTAGTTATGCTTTTTTGCTAGTCTGTTTCTTATTTATTTGCATACATACTGTATTGCCATAAATTAAACAACATATGTGCTTATAATGACACTGTTTAAATTAAAGCTAAATTCACCAATATATATTTTCTTTCCATTCACCAGGCTGGTTTTCAGTCAGTCGTTATTGGCCTTGGATATGATTGAAGAGTTCCTGCAGTTGATAGATGAAGGGACACTAGACTTGCCACAGCCTGAGGATCCCTTACCTCTACCATTTAAGCAGTGGAAAAAAGAGCGGGATTACCTGCGTCTTGATGGCTCCTCTTCTGCTGACACTCGAAAGAATATGTGCAAAGTCTTTAACAATCCCACTAATGAGAGGTAAGAAATATATTGTACATGATCCCTTGATCATAAAACATTAACCAATTAAAAATGCTAGTGTACTTTTATTTGATTTGCTTTGCTTGCTGACAGATAATTAGGTATCCCTAACATTAAAAATCTCGAATGCTTCAGTGTGTTAATTTTGAACTTTAAATATTGAGGTTTGTGCCACTGGTATATCTACAATTAAATTTATGCAAAGAACAGTTTAAAAAACAAAATCTGGAACTTGCTATAACAAAAACATCAGAGATGTGAAGAGAACTTGCTACAAATTTTATTGTCGTAAACCTGGGAAAATGTTTTCAGAGTTCACTTATTCAGCATGATCCCCATTTATTAGATCAGTCAGTATCTCCAGGCTTAGCAAAAGTTTATTTTTATGCTCCACTGAGTATTCCTGAGTGTAAACATTGGGTGCTTGGCAGATCTCACTTGGCAATGAATAAAAATGTTTACAATCATTTCATCTTTTCTCAGTTATTTCTTGGGTTATAACAACAACATTTGGTCTCAAAATGTTATCAAATTAATACTCTAGAGAACAAAAGTGTATTTGGTCTCTACTACCTTCTCACTTAGCTTGTTCCAACCGTCTACCACTCTGTTTACAAAAGAAAACTAATATTATTTCGGCATCTATGTTTCCTTAGCTTGAATCTGTGTCCTCTTGTTCGTGAAGTTGTTGTTTCAGGAATTCCTCTTTGTTAATTTGGTCGATTCCTGTTAGTATTTTGTAAGTGGTGATCATATCTCCTCTTTGTCTTTTATTTTCTAGTTTTGGCATGTTTAACCCCTTCAGTCTCTCCTCATAACTCCAGTCTTAGTGCAATAAATATAATGCCCCCTGTTGCTCCTATTTTTCTAGACCTCTTTCTTTTTTTAATGTTTATAGGATTTAGGGGTTTGTTCAGGCTTGAGAGTAAAGGGCTGGCTGGCACCTGACCTTCGGTTAATGTTCATTGCTAGTTGGGGGTGGGAGGGGTAAGTTTTGTGGTCATATGTTGGTTGGGGTACTTTTTAGTTTTATTTGGTATTTGTCTTTCAAATATTTCTTGCAAGTCCTTTGAGTTTTATGTAATGTTGATTCAATATTTATAAATTTTGTTTTAAACTTTTGTGTGTGTGTATTTTGCAGCCCGAAACGCTATGCGTGCTAGTGACTTTACAAGAATGTTAGAATTCTTGTATATATAAATTAATAAATAATATATATCTTCAGTAAGTGGGATTGAAATAAATAAACAAAGCTTTATGTGTATTTTATTCCTGTTCATTATTAGTCAGGGGACCCGTCCTCTCCCTATTGAAGACAGAGTCCCTCTTTATGCCATGGAAGTGAAAAGTGGTAATGATTGTTATAAGTTTGATGTCCAATTTCTTTTTCAGATGTCGTCTATTCCTCATATCAACTCGAGCAGGAGGTCTCGGCATCAATCTAGTTGCTGCTAACAGAGTGATTATCTTTGATTCTTCCTGGAATCCATCCCACGACACCCAGTCAATCTTCAGAATATATCGCTTTGGACAGAAAAAGCCATGTTATGTTTATCGTTTTGTGGCACAGGTAAATGGTACAAGTTAAAAATGTTGTATTATTATAATATAGGCAATTGCCAGAAATCAGCTTACACCACTCACGTTTATCATTAATTTTCACTCCTAAGGAAATGGATTTCCACTTATTAATACAATCTTCAGCTTTATGATTGCTCTAGTAAGACATCTTGTTATTAAATAAGGCAAATTACAGTGCGGATAATGTGACAATTGACAATAACATCTCTGACCAAGCCAACCAACCAGTGCTTGGGTTTGAACACATGGTATAGACTCATGGCTTAGAAGCATTTAAAATTTTTTGTTTATTTTGTGTATAGTTTTGAGTTATTATAGACTGCCAGTAATACTTCTATAATAGTTTGTCATATTTTAATACAGTAATTTTAAGTTTTTGGTATTTAATTAATATTTAAATTGAAACTGGAATTCCTTTTGGTAATGAACATTATTAACATGTTGCATTGTAATAATAGATTCACTTTTGGCTGTTCTGTGTATATATTTTAATTTATTATTATTTTATAATATAATTTGTAACATGTTGTATTTAAATTTGATTAAACATTTTTAAGTACTGTGCTGTACAGTAATTTATTCTTTAATTATGTGGATCATGAATAGGGCTTACACAGCCACCACCCAGCTCTTTGTCTCGGTGACAACTTGGATGATCACTCCTCACTTTAATCGAACATTGCATGTTCCACCGAACAATTTATACTGAGCCCAATTTGTTAGGACCATCTAGGAAATTTTGGTGTCCTGTCTTTGTTATATAACGTACGTGTGTGTGTGTGTATTTTACTTATAAGATTATTTTCGTAAAGAAAATAAGATTATTATGCAGTAGAATTTCTAAAAGATTTTGTGTATCTTTTGATTAAAGGGGACAATGGAAGAGAAAATCTACTCCAGACAAGTAACTAAAATGTCAACAGCTTTACGAGTAGTGGATGAACATCAGATCAAACGTTATTTCAAGATGGATGAACTGGCGCAGCTGTACGAGTTTACCCCAGCCGATGCTGATAAGCGCGACATACCGAATGTGCCAGAGGTAAGAACCTTATTCCAGTTTCGGTTCACTGATTTTATAATGTATCAAGGGAAAACTTTTACGTTGACACATTAGAAAATTGTCATCATACACTCCTACATATTTCTTTTTTTCACGGCAAGGTAAACTACATAATTTTGTAAAGTATTCAAAACTGCTGTATAAAATCAATTCATAACTGTACTTTTGTTTTCTTTGCCTTTATCATCAACTGTTATGGCTCTTCTTTGTCCCACCAAGCAGTATACTGCCATTCTTGTCGTTGTTTCTGCAAGTCAGCATACTTGTTTGGGACTATTAACAAAACATTCCTAGTATACATCTGATATCATTAAGGTTTATTAGTTTATAATTTCTTGTTCAAAGATTACTGTTAACGTCTCTCTTGTACATATTGACCAACTCTCGTTTAACTTCTCAACTTTGATTATTTCACCTCTTGGATTCCTGTAAGGTTTGGTCACCCATTTACCAGTCAATTTCACCTTATAACATAATTCTGTCGTGTGATAAGACAAACCTCCAGATATTCCTCTGTATTGCTTTTATATCACATAGATGTTTTAACATGCTTCTTTTTACAAGCTCATTGCGAATTACTCATCTACTACTTTGTAAATCACCCTGTAGCGAGTTGTGAGAATTTTAGAAAATGACAATAATTTTTTATATTCAAAACTATTGGAACCTGGTGATAATATCATTTTAAGACAAATAGATTTGGGGTAATTTGTAAGAAAGTTCCTGGAACCCTGGTCTAGAGACATTACTTATTCCTGGAACATTTACACCTATTGTGTCACTCAGGGCTCAAAACCCACTTCTATTCAACTCACAATATATGCAAGCACAATTGCCACCTTTGCTCTATCAAACTTAATTTCACACAAACACCTTGAACTGTGACACCAAGAACTCATTCATTTTCTCCTACCACTTTTCGTGCATTAACAGTATGGTTCTTTTTTTCTCTCAGTTTTTTCTCTGCTTTTATACAAATTATTGTATTATACTCCTTAAGATTTTTTATATTTGTCTCTCATTTTAATACATCAAACTTTTATTCTTTACATTTTTTCCAGTTCCAGGTTGTTTGATCCTCATTTATTCCTCATAACATTGAACACCACTGTACAAGCCTGCCTTTGTTTGCTGATGTCCGGGCAGGTGTGGATCCCTGATCTGCAGCCATATATTGGCAATATGCTTTATAGCTTATTAACTTCTTTTTAGGATCGACTTCTAGCTGAAATGCTGAAACGACACAAGAACTGGATCGTAGATTATCATGAACAGGACTCGCTCTTGGAAAACCAAACAAGTGAAGAACTAACGGAAGAAGAGCGTACGGCAGCTTGGGAAGACTACGAAAATGAGAAGAAAGGCTTTAGTAAGTAAATAATTATAATGTTAATGTATGCTTTAGCCACTTTGCTACATATTGCAAGATATGCAGTAACAGTTGTGTCCATTCCAATAATATATCTTTTTACTTTAGGATTTGGAGATACTGTACTGAAGTCAAGCCAGATGACATACTGGCACTGGTGCACAGGAATTTATAAACATCTTTGCAAGGACATTATATAAGCTAATGAATCATTGGAAAATGCTCAGTTCTGCCCAGAATGGCAGCCAGATGTCATTTCACACAAACTGAAAGCCATTCAGAACCCTCCATGGCATCACAGATGACCACCAGTGAGGGTTCTCACATATTACAATTATTACAATGTTACATATTACAATTGCAGCTCATCACATGAAATAAGAATATTGTACTGTAATATTAAATTACTTTATTTTCAGTGGTTCAACAACAACGAAACAGTGTGATGCCGGTGGTAGGCAATCCTACCATGATGGCCAATGCCAGCAGTTTGCCATCACTCTCTCTATCATCATTCAGCTTTGAAGGAGTTGTTAACACTATTAAAGCTCAGGTAAATGTACATGGTTTAAATGGATAAATGTTCTTGCACACATTACCTAACAGATTATGTGGACGGTGGAAAGTATTTCCACAGTATAATGTGGAAAGCAGACTTGGATAATTAGAAAGATATTTTACTGGGTTAGAGAGCATCTGAAAAATAGGAAACAAGGTTATAATGATAAAGGATCAGTTGGGATAAAGGGAGGTTATCTTGAGATAATTGTGGGAAGTGGTAAGCTGTGATAATCTGATAATAAATCTGATAATAATAATATCAGATAATAGATCTGATAATAAAGTGATAATCTGTGGGAAGTGGTAAGCTGTGTTTGCGAGGCTCGGTACTTAAACCACTGCTGTTCTTGATTTATGTAAATGATCTTTTGGAAGAGACAGGATCATACATGTCAATTTTTTATGTAATGCATAACTTTAAATATGGTGAAGACTTACACAGACTGCATAATGTGACAGGAAGACCTTGACAGCCTGTAGGAATGGGCGGACAAACAGCTATCAAGATTAAATAAAAACAAAAATTGTTTGGGAGATGGTAAAGGAGACCAGAATTACAGGACTGTGAATGGATGTAACACCAGACTTAACACAGGAATATCATATATATATACCAATATACCAATATCATAAAACTCGCACCTGGTAATCACAAGAAGAAAATTTAGAAGGTCTAATTAATGCCACATGATAGCCACAAAAGATAAGAAAATGAGCTATGAATTCAGAGTGGTAAGAAAACACTCGGGCAGAGCCTAGGTGTTCTCCACCCCTCCAACCACATTCTCTCCTTCCCACATTTATGTCCATATTTAAATATATTCATGTACAGAGGGAGAGAGAGGGTTATGTTTAGAATATTCACATTTTTTTTGTATTGTGAGATAGCCTGGCTTAAGAGATCGTGGATACCTACCTCGATGGGCTGCGATCAGGATGCATGTAGTTAAAATTGTCTGTAATTTGAGGTATATGTGTAAAAAATATTTGTTAAATTTTTGTTTTCTTTGACAGAACCCCAACCTAACTCAACAAGAGATGTGTGAGAGTGTAGTGCTGGCAACTAAACAGATTCAAAAGATTCACCTCAACCACTATCAACGAGTTCAAGGCATGGTTTACAATGTGAGTTAATTGTAAATTATTATGGTATCTTGTGTATTATGAAAGGTGTTGAACTTACTGGGTCCAAACAAATTTTACAACATTTTATGTTTGTATTTACAAAATATAAATCCAAATTTTAAGCCTGCTGAGTTTTGCTTTGTGTGAAAATTTAATCAAAATCAGATGGAAAAACTAACAAACTAAAATGGAAGAAACCTGTAACCTTTTTTGAGATTTGAATGTTCTCACCAAAAATGCAGTCACAAATCGTCAACCATATCCATTTTAATAATATAACTTATCTTGTAAATTCTTTCCAGTTACTTGTATTTAGTTAATGTGATGGCTTTATGATTTCATAGGAAATGACTATATATTAGTTGGCCACTCACCATTATTATAAGACTTTTTGACTAAACGATAAAAATGAAATGCTAAGAGGTAACTGATTTCTTTTAACTAAAGCTCACATGAGCTTCTAGTAATTACATTCTTTAAACTCATTTTGACTGGTGTATTCATCAGTGGCCCCGAGAATCATTGCATCATCTGCCTTGCAACAATTGCAACAATTCTGCCTTTTCTTATTCTGAGATACGCCTTCATGATACCTAGGGAGCCGGTCGGCCGAGAGGGCAGCACACTGGACTTGTGATCCTGTGGTTCCGGGTTCGATCCCGGGCGCTGGCGAGAAAGAGTGGGCAGAGTTTCTTTCACCCTATGCCCCTGTTACCTAGCAGTAAAATAGGTACCTGGGTGTTAGTCAGCTGTCACGGGCTGCTTCCTGGGGGTGGAGGCCTGGTCGAAGACCGGGCCGCGGGGACACTAAAGCCCCGAAATCATCTCGAGATAACCTTGATCAGTCACTCATCAGATTGAACCATATCTACTTTATTTACTTGTAACAGTGGTATACTGTACAATAGTGCATCACACTGTTCATTGTATGTGTAGTTTTGTATCGTTTCATAACTATTCAGACTATACTGTATATGGTTGATAATCATCATCTTGTATTAATACATTTGGTGTGTTACTTCCTTCTGATAATTTATCTTAGGAAAACACATCGGTAGGTGGTAAGAAGGTATTAGAATAATATTTTTAAGCTTTAAGTTAACCCAATAATCAGCCCCAAAGTATTTTTGTTTAGCCTGTAACCAGAACCACCTACATTTTGTAGTTGAACCTTCCGAACTTGGAAATTTTTTAAAAATACAATTATAAATTACATAGGAAATATGTGCTCGGCTAGTATTAAGTCACTAAGTTTGTTGTTACATTAATTTCATTGTTTAACATACTTATATTTGTAAGGCCAGTGTTCTGGGTACAGTGAGATTAATTGTGCAAATTGTTTAAATGTTTATCCCCAGCTGAAGAACCCAATGATTGCACCAGAGCAAAGGAAACTTCTGCCATTTGGGAACCATCCTGAAATGCTTCCCATGCTTGAGCAGCAGTTGAGAATGCTGGAAGAGAATATTCAGAGAGAGAACCAAGTCATTAACCACATGTCACAGATCACTCCACAAAGAGATCAGGTGTCTATGGCTAGTCTGGTGAGTGTGTGTATAGTTTTGTAGCTGTATATGTGTAGTTCATCATATTACTAGTTCTAGATTAATTTGAGAACAAATATTTAAAGGTTTAAGAGGTAATAGAATGACTGTATTAACAGTAACATTCTGGCCCCTCGCTGCACGACTGACATAAACGTTCCAGGCCTTTCGTGGACCTTTTCAGCGACTACTGAATTGTATAAACTCTCCATGTTTTGTAAATTATTTTTGGGGTTACAACTACAAATTTTTGCAAATGATTGTTCTAGAGTATAGATACAAAAATGTGATTGTGCATAATAGCAGAATATACTGGTGTTTATGGACATTTCAACGTTTCCCATTTATTTTTTAACGTAAATACTATACACACGTGTGTGGTCTATATACCTGTAAAAATAAATTGAACATTACTTTCATACTCATTGATTAGGTAATTTGCAGACAAAAAGAAAATATGCCCAGGTAGAGCAGTTATCATCTTGAGCAATGTTTAAGGTGGTCGATCTATTTTTGGATTGTCTCAGATCTTTCGGTTGGTCCCTGCTCCTTTGATTTGTCTCCAGTACTTTGGTTGGTTCCTGATAAGCTCTGTCCTCACTGCTTGTGTATTCAAGAGTTTTTTCATTAAAGTGCAAATATGACAACTAAGAAAGTGATTGTTGGAAAGTCCTAGATCATATAGGATGTTTTACATTTATGGTTGTCACTCATCCTTATCACTCAAATTTAAGCTCCTAACCACTAACTCACCTAAATAAATTCTCATAAGCTCTCACATAGAAATCATTCAGTTCTTCCACCATCCCCTCCCCATCCTCCATGCTCTTTTGAATCTGCTTAAAATCTGTAGAAAGAACATGTTTAATTCCTCACCTGGAGATTATGGATATATAACTTTGTACAATTAATAATTCATTATGATGAACATATACATTCTCTAATTCTCCCTTTTCATGTCCAGATGTCTGCTGGGCTGATTCGTGGCCAGCCGTCTAGTGCAGGAGTTAGCTCGGCTACAGCTAATTACGTGACGAGGCCTGCAACATCACAAATTAGACCAGTTATGGTGCCGCCTCAGCAAAAACCTCCAGAAAAGGTTTAAGTTGTTTTTTGCTTTAATTTTTTTTATTTAGGTCAAGTGCATTAAATGTGTGAAGTCAACAAATTACACAATTTCCTGTCGATGTTTTTCACATTAATGGTTTGTTAATCGGAAGGACTTGCAATCGTTGAAACTGAGAAGGAAACAACACTTGTGAAGAAAACGGTATTCATGCAGTCGTGGAATTTCATATGCTGACAATTATTTTTACTTTTAACTATTCAAATGCTTATTTATTATAGTATATAACAAATAAGAGTTATCCAAGAGTTAGCAAGAGTTATCCAATGGGTAACTCTTGCTGTTTTCATTGCCCCACCTGTTGAGGTCAAGAGTCCTTTTGCATTTTGGGGCATGAGGCATCATCATACGTTGGTTGAAGCTATTATTGTTTTGGTTTTATACCAATGATGATAATATGGATATAATAGCTCTATGTGCATGTAATGGTGTTTACCTTGACCAACAAAAAAATCTGCAATTTCATGATTATTAATATGCAAATGCAGTTATCGTCGTAAATATTACTGCATCAATGTGATAATTGTCATGGTATCAAATTCCATTATACAGTACCTGTAATTACATGATATGTATGCTGATTATGTCCATATGGTTTTAACATCTCTATATGGTTGTAATGAAGTATTCCAAGTCAACCACTCATAATTTGAATGTAATAATACAGGAACTACAGAAGGCAAGGCAGCTCCTATTTATATCCACCCAAACTCGCTCATTTCTCATTTCACTCAAACTCATTTCATTTCAAAACTGTTCACCCCGTATGAGGATATAAATAAGAGCTGCCTCATATGTGTCAATAGGTACGTATATTCATTCAGATACGTATATTCGTTCATTTATATACTCATTCATAGAGTATGCATTTATTGGGCTGGACAGTAGAGCGACGGTCTCGCTTCATGCAGGTCAGCGTTCAATCCCAGACCGTCTAAGTAGTTGGGCACCATTCCCCTCAGCACAGTAGTTCTATTTTATTTTTTTATTTTTTATATAGTGTACAGTTAGTGGTATTTATGCAATATATCTTTTGTTCTTTACTTTTAATTTAGTGCATGAAAATAAATCTCCCATCTGCATTGCTCTTTTGTTTTATTCATTGGTTCCAGGGTGGTGCCCAAACTTTGTTTACCATACAGTATTTCTTTTCCCTAGTCCTTGTCTTAGATTTTATCCCCTATCATTACTCTGATAATTTTATTTTATTTTTAACCTAAACTTCATTATTTCCATCTTTCATGAGTTGGTGTTTAATTCTTTTTTTTCTCTCTTTTCAGAAACCGGGATCAAATGATGTCATTATGCTTGACTGAGATGCATATTTCTAGTTTAGCACAATATCATTGTTCCTGAGTGTGTACAAAGAACTGTTGGTTTTTGGGAATCTCAGATCGTCGGTGGTGATTTTTCATGCAGTGCATTAGAAGATTTGATTACTGTATTTTCAATATTAACCAAGAGGCTTTATATTTTTTATTTTCAGCCTTAAATTTGTCCAATATATGTATGTTTCTCTGGCCGACATGTTATATATGCTTACTGAGGTGATTGTCATACTTTCCTTATAATCTTGTTGATTAGTGCAAACATGTGGCAAGTGTTACATTTATTTAAGAGCCTTGACCAACTTCAAGAATTCCTCGGCAAATATATTGAGCATTGCTAATGATGCTTTAGCACTTAGTAAAGCTTAATGGTTGATGATCATGAATGATAGCATACCATACCATGTAAGTACAGTATGTATGCATTTATTAAGCACAGTAGTTCTACATTTATTTTGTAAACTACACTTCAAATTATGATTTTATAAAGTTTTGTAAAGTTTCTCCTTGGGGAGTAAACTTTAATAAGAGAATGTAATTTTTGTGGCTTGCTGTCAAATCATGGTATACTTTTTATGTTATTATATATACAGGTGTTTATAACAAATTTACTGATGCCATATCCATTCGCCCCCTTGTGTCCACAGGCTTAACAGTACTTAACAGTACAGTACCTTATCACACATGATGAGACTCGCACATTCACAGTGTGTGGATGGCTACCACTTATCATACAAAGTTCAGTCCTAAGGTTCCAGTGAACCTAACACTTCTTCTCACTTCTACAACCAATTCATCTTTTTATGAAGACAAAAATACATCATTACTGTAAATAAAAGTTTTTTCTGGTCATATACACATGATATCTACAAAAATCGGTTATCCATTTGCTCTTGGGCAAGGCCTCAGTGGATATGGTATAAATGCCTCTATGTATCAAATTAATATATCTAAGTTTAGACGACCATGAAAAAGAAACTGCTTTAATAGTTTTGTAATTTCACAGCAAGTATAATTCTCTGGTAAGATGATATAATAAACCTGTAATATTTTTATAGTTCTTTTATAATTTATTAATGATATTTCCATATGGATAATATCCAGCATAAGCAGGTATGCTGTTGAAATATGAACTGTATGAAGGTATTGTATAATTAGAAATAATTTATTGCCTTAAATATTATTCATAAATAAAAAAAATTTGAAATATATAGAGCTTAATATTTTAATTTTCAAAATTAATAAGTTTGCAACTACAATTTTTATATTTTGCTAACTGAAATGCAAAATAATTTTCTTGTTTAGTTTATTCAAAATTACCAGGTAATTGTGTTACGAAATGTATCGAAACTTGAATGAAAGTTCTTCTATATAATTAATAATAAATGTGTACCTTCATAATAACCAGACCAGTCTATGTTCTTAACTCTCCTTAAGCTCTGATATTTTGCCCACTTATTAACCCATGTTTTCAAGTTTGTCTGGCAGATTTAAAGGTTTATCTTTCAGATTGAACTACAAGTCTCATGGATTGAAAGACATATATTCTGAACACGACAGAGGTTAGGAATTCCTCTCGGTATATCTTCCATTAGCATCTTACTAGTGATGTATTTTAAGCTTTATTTTTTTTTTAATGTTGGGGTTATATTTTTATTGGTTTTTAGTGTTTTTGACTTCACAAAAACACCTTATAATTTAGAATCATTGAATGTGGTAAAGTACAAATACAATACCAGTCGTGAAATTAAAAGTCCATGAAATTTAAATATTTCCCCAACAAAGTACAGTAGTCCGTTTATTAATGCGGTGGTTCTCAACTGTTGGGTTAAAAGAATATTCAAATACTTGTTTTTTTTTTTTAATTACGAAAGTGTGGCAAGGGTCACAGGTCTCTTGAGTATTCAAAAAATATGGCCGAGTCCAAAATTGGTTGAGGACCACTGCATTAATGGGTTTAATTACAAGAGCTTATACAAGAGGGTTCTGAAACATAATTGCGTATCATAAACCCAGTATCATTTAATACTTGTAGAACAATAACTGCATGCTTAGAAGATTAGAAATCAATAGATGTATCAAAATTGGATATGGTGTAGAGTGGCTATTTATTTTCCTATCAAGGACAGCCTGTTGTGGAATTTGTAGCATTCCTGTTGGTATATTGATGTACACTGTAATGATATTGACAGTAATAAATGGACTTCTTTAGTAGAGTATACATTTATTTGTTCATTCCTTTAAAAAAAATTCTTTCCTGTGTATCGTTGAAAATTTTTGCAATTGTTTGTAAAGGGCTTAATTCCATGTAAGTACTGTACCTAATTATGGTTTTGTCACGTGTACAGTATTTTGTTTAATATTTCTTCTGAAGAGTTCCTGTTCAGTATATTGAGTACCACATCATATTGAACTGAAACATGAAATGCTTAGGAGATTGAGCTTAGGAGTTGAACTTTGAACAGTGTAGCCCCATTTTTTCCAAGCAAGAATTCCTCGGTTGCTTACCTAGTCGATGCATAAGTAAAAGTGTGCAGATCATACAGTTGATCTGCAAGTGACATGAAGGTTACCTAGTTTATAGTCAGAGTTAGTTGACCTTCAGCAAACCAAAAGTTACTTCTTTAATTATATATTAATAAGTTAAAGCTAAGTAGTTAAAAAAATATTAATACAGTATACTTGAGTAGAAGAAAATAATAGTTATGTGTAGCATATAATTTAGTATTAAAAGTGTGAACTAGTGTTAGTGGGTAGGAAAATTGTAGTACTATATAATTTCAAGTAATATTGACTGAGAAATAGATAACTGCTTCAGTAATCCCTCCTGCCACCATAACAAGTGGGAAATGTCTGGTTAGGTTAGGTTATGTATTGCCACAAAACTCTCTGGCACTTTATGGAACAAAGACCTGCACCTTACTCTCAAAACTGCTTCTCCTGATAAGTTGCACATCTTGTGGAATGTCCTGATTTTCAAAATGATCAAAAAAATTTCTTTCTCATTGTTCCAAAGTCATTGGAAAATCATTCCAAAGTCAAAGATCTGATACTGTTGACATTGTTTGTCTTTTGTCTTTTTGTACTTGTATTGCCATACTAATATTTAAGAATTTTTTAATATTCTGACACAGATGGTGTAAAATAGTCTTCCAAGTTACCTGTTGAAGATTCTAGGGATCAATGTCCCAGTAGCCCTGTCTGGTCAGGTCTCCTGGTTGCTGGTTTGACCCACCAGGCTGTTTGATGTAGCCTGATGTACGAGTCACAGCCTTCTTGTTCAGGTATCCTTTGAAGGTGCTTATCGAGTTCTCTTTTGAACACTGCAAGAGGTCGGCCAGTTAGGTCCTGTATGTGTAGGGAACGTGTTGAAAAGTCTTGAGCCTTTGATGTTGATTGAGTTCACTTTGTGTGCCTATTGCACCTCTGCTCTTCAGTGGTGCTAATTTGCACATCCTGCCATGCCTTCTGGTCTCGTATGGTCTTATTTCTGTGCGCAGATTTGGAACCAATCCTTCTAATATTTCCAAGTGTAGATTATTTTTCTCTCCCACCTGCACTCTAGGGAACACTAATTTTTTTTTAATTTTAGGCAGTCGTGATAGTTTAGATGTTTTACTGAGTGGATTCTAGTGGTAAAGGGTCTTTGCATGCTCTCCAAGTCAGCAATTTCTCCAGTTTTGAAAAGGGCTGTTAGTGTGCAACAATATTCTACTAGAGAACACTAATGTCTTAAAAAGTATCGTCATTGGCATGGTATCTCTTCTTTAGAAGGTTCTTGTTATCCAGTCTCATTTTCCTTCCTGCTGTGACAACTATTTTGTTGTGTTCTTCAAAATGTAAGATCTTCTGACATGATTACTCAAATCTTTTATATTGCTTTTTCTGTCAGTAGTGTGGTTTGACTGTTTTATATGTGGTTTCTGCTTTGTTGTTTTTGTTTTTTCCATAGCACAGTAATTGGAACTTATCCTCATTAAACTCATGTTATTTTCTGTGACCCATTGAAAGACCTGATTAACATCAGATTGGAAGTTTGCTGTCCTCTGTGTTATCTATTCACATAGACAATTCTTTTGTGTTGGCACATGCTTTTGATAATTACTTACTTGCTTGCTTCAGTGATAAGGATTCTATATAATTGGGTTAGCTAGTACTCTATGGAATTAACAGGCATTGTTTTGGGAGTGTCCAAATATAATTGGGTTCATTTCAGATGAGCCAGATGCATTTCTTTGCTGTCCTGTTATCTCACAGTAAGATACTAATTGGGGATTTTCTTTGCTGGTTATTTCAAAGATTCCTCCGTTTCCAGACTTGTAATTAACTAAGTGTTGTTAAAGAATTAGAGTTACACTCATGGTGTCCCGTCTTCCCGCACGCTGTCATAATGCCTGGAAATTACTGACAGTTTTGGTCTCCACCACCACCTCACTTAGCTTGTTACAATTACCGTATCTACCATTCTGTAAAAGTGAATTTAATTATATTTCTTCAGCAGCTTTGTTAAGTTAGCTTAAATCTATGACCTCTTGTTCTTGAAGTTCCAAGTCTCAGGAATTCTTTCCTATTAATTTAGTAAATTTCCATTACTGTACTACTATTGTTTTGTATGTAGTGATCATATTGCCTCTTTTCCTTTTATCTTCTAATTTTGGCATATTTAATGCCTCTAACCTCTCCTCGTCGCTCTTGTCTTTCAGTTCCAGGAGCCATTTAGGTGCATGACTTTGTACCATTTCTAGTTTGTTGATGTGCTTCTTAAGATATGGGCACCATACAACCGTTACATATTTCAGATTTGGTCTTGCAAAGATCATGAACAATTTCTTTAGTATTTCATCATCCATGTATTTAAAAGCAATTCTGAAATTGGAAAGCATAGCATAGACTCCATGCACAATGTTCTTATGTGGTCCTCAGGTGGTAGTTTTCTATCTGGAACCACTCCTAGATCTCTCTGAGAATTTTTTTAAAGCTTTTTCACGTAATTTGTAGGTCGTGAGTGATCTATTTTCTCCTATTCCACATTCCATAACATGGCATTTATTCGCATCAAATAACATTTGCCAAGTGGTGCTCCATACACTTTATTTTATCCAGGTCTTCTTGAATGTCATGACAATCTAAGGCCCACATAAGCAAATCCATACATCACCCACATTTTTTTTTATGAAGTGGGTGAAGAAATTTGGCCTGAGAAGTGTGCATTTCAGTTGTATAGTTTTGTAAGAAGTGCCAGACCAATCGGGTTGTAGGGACTGGGCCTGTGGGTTGCTCAAACATCTGCCTCTTGGACCGAGTTATCAAAAGCCAAACCTAGCCCCAGGCTGGGCTTGGGGAGTAGAACTCCCAGAATCTGGTCTGGACTACACTATAATTGTTTGTTCATAGGGGAATATGAAATATAATTTTGCCACATAATTTCCATTCTTTGTGGATTAATTGAAATAAAACTCAAATATCATACCAGTATACTTTACTACTCATTGATATTTTTAAACTAACATTATTTTGATACTGTAATTGTCTATATATAACAATTTTGGCAAAAAATTATCTTGAATTAATTCAAGTACTATTACGACCTAAATACATATCTTGTATAAACATGATATATAAGTCGTTTTACTGCATCCGGATCACTTTTAGCAATACTTTCTAACCATCTTTCTAGGATTAGCTTTGTGGGCAAGTGAAAAATTACCCTCATCCACTTGTATAATGCTGGACTTTGTATGTAGAAAGCCAATGCCAGCATTTTCTCACGCACACTGAATCTGAAATAAAAATAAAAATGTCATCGTAGTAACATTAAATACAAACATGAATACAGTATAACCAACTTTCTATTAAGAACACTCATAAAATAAACACCAGCCCAATTATCCTGCCAAAATTGCAGAATGAATGAATGGCTAGGTAGAAATTCAAATAAGAATTTTTTGGAAAAATGTTGCAGCATGAATGGCATCCTTAGCAGCAGTGTCTACAAGTTCATTTGAGGGCACCAGCATTCAGGAGAGACAATGGACACTGTTGGCATGCCCCAGAGGGCATACCAACAGTTAAAAATTACCATAAAATAGCACAGGCTCCAGTAATGAGTCTCCGAGGTTTAGGATTGGGAAGAAAAAGTTGGAATGTGTGTGGGGGGGGGGGAATGGAACAGAGGGCATAACATTTACTCAAAAGGTATGGGCAGCCGTGGAATGGACACTGAACTGGAAAAGAAGCGAGACAAAAGGAACGTCATTCCAGATCAAGAAAGCAGAGGAGTTAGGGGTACCAGGAACCCCTGGAGGGGAGATAATATCTGTGGTAAACCCTTCTGGCTCTCAGCTCCACCTTCCTCATCAGCCCTTCCCTGTCTTTTGGCTCTTCAGCCTATGACCATCTAGGCTGATGTTCATTCCCTCCAAACCATCCTCGGTTCACCTGCTCTCATTCTTACTCCCTGCCTGCATCTGAGACAATAGACTTTATAATACAGTAAACTACTTTGAAACTAGCACAACTCTCTCTCTCTCAGAAATGTAAATCTGGTTCCTCTCCCTCTTCCTCCTCAGTTTGTAAGAAGGCCTTAATCCTCCCCTTAAGCTATTTTCTCCATTCTTGTTCCTGCATCACCTGTCTCAAGCCATCTGATCTTGCTCCACTGTGTTTATTTTAGTTTTCAAATAAAGCTATTCAAAATCTCACATTTGCTACCTAAATATTTTAAAGGTTCCTGTATAAAACATTTTATATTGATTTTATGATGAACGAAAATGTGCAATTAAATATGTAAATGACTCCAGGGAAAGTAAACTGAAATAATGTATATATATACCTGATGCCTTGCACATTATTACAACCAGATTTAAGTTGTAGTGTAAAAAATATTAGCTGATCTTCTGTCAGAAATCTTGATGCACCGTATACAAGGTCTGCCAGTGTATACACTCTTGGTTTTTTTCGTAGTTCTTGGACAGCACGGCAATACCTCTGCTGCAGAGATGCCACTTGTTGGTTATAAGTCCTGTAATAAAATTATTTATATAATTAATCATTTGTTTTGTTGGGGGCAAGGCAACCTCTCCCTGACAAAACCTGTATCTCATTTTTAACCTGTTAAGCTTATATATGTTAAGCCTAACATACATACATACATACATACATACATATATATATATATATATATATATATATATATATATATATATATATATATATATATATATATATATATATATATATATATATACGCGAACAAGCCTGAATGGTCCTCAGGACAATATGCAACTGAAAACTCACACCCCAGAAGTGACTCGAACCCATACTCCCAGAAGCAACGCAACTGGTATGTACAAGACGCCTTAATCCACTTGACCATCACGACCGGACAAATATATACCGGATATATATATACACACACACACACACACACACACTAGCTAGAATATGCAGTTGTTGTGTGGTGCCCATATCTTAAGAAGCACATCAACAAACTGGAAAAGGTGCAAAGACATGCTACGAAGTGGCTCCCAGAACTGAAGGGCAAGAGCTACGAGGAGAGGTTGGAAGCATTAAACATGCCAAAACTAGAAGACAGAAGAAAAAGAGGTGATATGATCACTACGTACAAAATAGTAACAGGAATTGATAAAATCGACAGGGAAGGATTCCTGAGACCTGGCACTTCAAGAACAAGAGGTCATAGATTTAAACTAGCTAAACACAGATGCCAAAGAAATATAAGAAAATTCACCTTCGCAAATAGAGTGGTAGACGGTTGGAACAAGTTAAGTGAGAAGGTGGTGGAGGCCAAGACCGTCAGCAGTTTCAAAGCGTTATATGACAAAGAGTGCTGGGAAGACGGGACACCACGAGCGTAGCTCTCATCCTGTAACTACACTTAGGTAATTACACACACACACACACACAAGGGGCCTCGTAGCCTGGTGGATAGCGCGCAGGATTCGTAATTCTGTGGCGCGGGTTTGATTCCCGCACGAGGCAGAAACAAATGGGCAAAGTTTCTTTCACCCTGAATGCCCCTGTTACCTAGCAGTAAATAGGTACCTGGGAGTTAGTCAGCTGTCACGGGCTGCTTCCTGGGGTGTGTGTGTGTGTGTGTAGTGTGAAAAAAAAAAAAAAAAAAAGTAGTAAACAGTTGATTGACAGTTGAGAGGCGGGCCGAAAGAGCTACGGCCCGCCTCTCAACTGTCAATCAACTGTTTACTACTTTCGGCCCTGTTTACTACTTTCGGCCCGGCTTTCGTTGAGCCGGGCCGAAAGTGGCTCAACCCCCGTAAAAACACAACTAGTAAACACACACACACATACAGTATTTTAGGCTTATATTGAGGTCCCCAACAAGGTTGAACTCCCCCCCCCCAACCCACAAGGATGCAACCCCACAACAGCTGACTAACTCCTGGGTACCTATTTACTGTAAAATGAATAGATGAAAAATTCACATGTTAATCATTAATTAAAGATAACTAACAGTTAAAAACATATGTTTGGTCTTAAGTATGAACAAACTAATGTACCTTTTAATGAAGAAATAATTTAAAAATTGCACCTAACACATTTATATACATTATTTAAACTTGATGACATAACACAATTGACCCACTGGTTGACAGTCAGACACAGTTACTCCTAGTAAGTGAATGGCCAACTAAAACAGAAAAATGTGCTAGCATTCAATATAAGCAAAGCAATATTCCCGACATCCAAAATCATTTAAAATAAGCATGTAAAATAAGATAAAGACTCCATTTTGATCAAATGTATATAACATTATTTACAATTACCAAATATTAAATAACTGAATTACAAAATAACAAAGAAAGTAAGTGAAACACACACAAACATTTGAGCCCCATCTGACATGCCCCCTGTTCTCTGTGGGAAAGTGACTACCTGTACACGTATTTGATTTCTCACAAACAAAAGTACTAAATCTATTTTTCTATTTCACTGTGGTGGTTCTTGCATTTTGAGGTCACAGTACATGTTCTGTGACATGCTACACATTTATTTATCAAAAGAAAGCACAATGGGTAGTGTTAGTACATATTTTGGTGATTATATGGTACATTCTTGCAAAGCCTCTAACACTGACTTAATTGTCAGTCAGCAACCCCCCTTAAATTTGGATATTTTGTCAATCTAGTCTAACCCCTGAAACTACAAGGCTACTAAGTCAATTCCAGTTTCAAGACCCCCACCCCCTTGTTTGTGTACTTCCCACTCACGAGAGTGTTACAAACACCAACACCTCCCCCACTCAATCAAGAGATTGGGTCGGGGAGGTGCTTACCAAATACTGCTTACCAAAAATGGCCCACTAGATACTCAGATTAGTGTGGGTGTTTGACTAGGGGGAGAGTGAGAGTGGGTTAGGGAGTGATGTAATACTCAAACAGAATAACACTTGCATAATACTACAATTACAGCAAATTTAGCACAAACACATTTCTCATATGAAATAATTAGATAAGCACCAAAAACAAAAGTAATGTTTCAGCTCTGCTAAAAAAAACTTACCTAATCATCTGCTTGCTCTTTATTCTTCTCCCTCGTGACGAAATCTTGGGTTTACTGTCGACCAACTCAACATCTGTGTCAGCCTTGCCTTCATCACTTTGAAGAGATTTTGTGTTAGAAGTAGATGGCAGGTTTTTGTCATCATCTTCACTTTCTGCATCATTAGACATCTTGGGAATTTTGAGAGGTGTAACATTTGTAGTCTTTCCCGTTGTCGTGATCACATGATAAATAAGGCTTTCCTCATCATTGACTACTGATGTTTCACCTGTATCCACTATCTGTATTTTGGTCTTTCCATCTGGCCCAAGCACTACTTCTATTCCCTCTTTTAATTCAGATCCTTGCTTAGTAACATTGAATGACTTTAATTTATTAGAAATGGACGGGGAATAAATGTCTTCATCAATCTCGCTCATATCTTCAAGCACGTCTTCATCCAAAATGTCTTCATTTAATGAAAACTTCTTTCCAAAAACTCCAACACAGCTGGTTAAAAGGTCATCATCCAATGACTCTAGTGGTTCAACTTTTCTGCCTCTGCCCCGGCCTCTGCCTCGGTGTGTGAATTTTGAACAACTATTCATTAGATTTACCTCCTCTTCATCAGACGTATTAAAATCTGTAACATAATCATCTAAAATTTTTGATCTTCTTTTCCTTTTTGGTTTGTTCTCAGTGTCTGTCTCAGCATCTCCAGGGTCCTCAGTACTGTCATATGCTAGTGGTGAAAAACTTGTCTTGCACGTCAAATTTCCAATCTGTGAACTGGAACTTAGTTTAGATGAATGATTCGTGGCAACTGTGTGTGATTGTGTTGTTTGAGGTATGAAGGTTCCTTTTCTTGGCCGACCCCTTTTTCTTCTGAAAACAACTGCTGGGTTTGAAGGTTCAAGAGTACTATGAGAATCTGCTGACAGTAAAATATGATCAGGTCGTCCAACACTATTATTCTCACTAGAATTAACCTCACCACTAATGCTAGTTTCAATTTCTTTAAACTCACTGTCCGTCACACGATATGAACCACTTGGTTGTTTTTCTAATTTTCCTTCCTTAAGGAACTTTTCCATAACTTGGGAGGATATATTCATCTTAACTTTTCTGGCACCACTCAACATGATGCTCTTTCCTTCAGCTGTGTTCTGGGTCTCAGATGTTACAACTGAATCCACAAAGCTGGTGTAAGGGTCTTCTACTTCAGATAGTGGTTCCATCTTAACTGATGAATTTTGTTCATGCTGAGCATCCAAACCTATAACCAAAAAAAAGAATAATGTTATGAATATTTTTTTATGATCATTACTCCATTACCTACTTTCATGATATGGGGAGGTATTAACTTGGAGGTAACAGAAAGAAGATTAAAGATATTCAAACAATTCCTCACCCACTTATAATATATTTCAAGCTACACAGGTTCACATAACTTGAGCACTATCATACCTTCAGTCAACCATGCACAGCTGTGCCCCACTGCTTCAAATCAAATAAAATCAAATGTTTATTCAGGTAAAAGTACTTACATTGAAGATGCATTCCAAACATAATGTTATATTTATAGATGGAGCTAGTACACACAATGCCTAAAGCCACTACACACAATCATGTGTCAAGTGCTTCCCATGAGTGGTCATGTAATATTGGTTAAACCAAGTACACAAGTGCTCACAATAAAGCAGATAAACACCAAGTTGAGAAAAACTTTATTGGAAGGGAAGGGAACTATCACGAGAAGCACCAAGCCATTGCGACTATATAGCACTGGGAAGGGGTCAGGATAAGGATTTGGGGTGGGATGGGAGAAAGGAATGGTGCTCCCAACCCCTTGGACAGTAGGGGATTAACGCCGACCTGCATGAAGTGAGACCGTCGCTCTACCATTCAGTCCAAATGGTTGGGGATGATGCCTTGCCTGTAAGTGCTTCTTCAAATGTGGCAAGGTTTGGAGTCAGGAGCTTGGTGACAAGAGCTCGATACATGACCTTCCTCTTTCACAGCTGTATGCTTACTGAGTAGAACAGGAACTTTTCTAATATGTGCAGTAGGTCACCAGAACCATTTCATGGCTATTGGTAATACTCATCATGTCAGCTGAGGAATAATCAAATCTGATTCAGATATACAAGACTAGCTGCTTACAAGGAAAAATGAGAGAGCTCCACCTAGAGAGGTGAGGGATTATTTAAGTCACAATGTAAAAACTTTACAGTATTAATTTAGCAAGTGAGGTTACAATGCTGAGTATTCCCAGATTCTCTTTAAAGGTCTTGTAATATGGAGTCCACTGCCACCACTTGCTTAACAATATATTTAAACAATATAATTTGTGACTTACATCATCCCTCACCTTTCCTACCTCAACTCTTCTGCTTTCTGTGATAAAAAATCATACAAGCAAAACATCATCTCAAATAGTCTACTCTCAACTTGGTGTTCCTCTACATTTAAATAGTTATATATATTCATTCCAACCTAGCAAAATGATTCCACATCACCTTATTTTCGATCTCTACTTGTTCTCATTCAATCCTCAATTCCTCACACACACACTTGCCCATTTTGTTAAACCATCTACTTGGCCTTCATCTATTTCCCATATACTCAAATTCCTCTCAGATTTTCTATATCGACTGCTCCAACTTTCATAAGTAAAAATGCGTCAAAATTTCCAGGAATTTTGACGCATTTTTACTTATCTCATCCATTCCAACCATAACTTTCAGTGTACCAGGCCCTTTCTTTACCTAACTTACCTTACACTTAGCTTCTCTCCCACAAACTTCTTTGCTTGTAAATTATATACTCCTCAGCCACTGCATATACTGTGCTCAGTTTTAGTCTTGAAATATGCTTGAAGCACTATATAACAGTGGCTTTTAAAATACAGTGTAGTGAACATAGTACAGTAAATTAATTGCTGCAATCTAGTTTGAATTTTTGTAAATAAAAATTTAATTATTTTTTGTTTTATTTTAATACCACTTGTAAATGCTCACAATCTGCAGATAAAACCATTAGAAGGAAAAACAGTATGCAGGCACCAACTCTTACTAGAGTCCAGGAGCTGATGACAACTATCAATTGGTCTTGGTCCATCATCAGTCTCTATACTCATCTTAAATAGTGATGCCTTCTTACATGTGAAATTTAAGTTATCATCTCCCCAATTCTCTGTGCCATCCTTGTCATTATCTGAACTTTCTGCAATGGCAAACACATTATTAATTATCACAATATAAGAAACCTGAATAGAATGGAGAGAGACTTAATAAAGTATGATCACTAAATATTTTATGGAACAAAGTATATCAGCTATTCACAAATGATATATTACACACTCACACTACTCTGTATATCATATAATGTGTGCTTGACAAGCTGCTTCATATGCCACATAGTACAGTATTTGCATCTCCCCGGAGTTGTTTATGATCAGCAGCAAGGGGCTAGTGCCTAACAGTTAATAGGTAGCTTTGGCAATGACTTGCTATCATTGGAAAAAACCTCTCAAGTACTTGTAAATCAAGTAGCCAATACCCCAAGGCCAGCATTATTATCAACATTAAAACAGTATAATGACATGCACATTTACCTATTGACACCACCATAATACTTAACCTGTAAAATGCGTCTATTTTACAGAACCAATTAATTGGTAACATAATAGATCTGGAATGAATAGATTGTTTGAAGCATAGGTTAGACATAGGAAAATGTAGATAACACACAATATGGTAAAGAACAAGGCTGGGATTTGTTTCAAATGAATGAATAAATGTATTTGTATGCACCTGTATAGTAATGTACACCTGACCTTATGAAGCAGTGGGTTGCTGAAGTGGATTGGTGCTGGAATGTGGTAGTACTTATTTATTTGTGATCTTATGTCTTGTGCAGTATTATGAATGATATAATGAATGGATGAATGATATTTTGATTTCTTTATTAAATACTGTAGACAACATCTTATCCCATATCCCGAGTCATCTCAAGAGGATTTCGGGTCTTAGCGTCCCCACGGCCCGGTCCTTGACCAGGCTTCCTTTTTGTTACACACCCTCAGGAAGCAGCACGTGGCAGCTGTCTAACTCCCAGGTACCTATTTACTGCTAAGTGAACAAAGGCATCAGGGTGAAAGAAACTCTGCCCACTTGTTTCCGCCTCAACAAGGGATCGAACCTGGAACCTCAGGACTACGAATCTGAAGCGCTGTCCACTCAGCTGTCAGGCCCCTAGTGGATATACTAGGATATCAGTACTCCATATAGCTCCGTATATCAGTAACATAGCTGTATATACATAATGTACTGTAATACTGTATGAGCTCACTTATCCAGACTATATGGGAAGGACCCCCTTTCCCCATTCTGGATACACAGAATTCTTACTAAGTACAAAAATTAACATTCTCAATTTTAATATCACAACCAACATACAGTAATTTGAATTTCCCCACACACTATAATTAAAAACTATGCAAGTACAGTACTGTAATTTAAAGCAGAAACTTCAGTTTACCTTGTTACAGTTTGTCTTCTTGATTGATAATGTATTATTAGAAATCCGTAGTTCTTGAAAATTTATGTAAACTAACCTAACACAACATTAAAATTACAGTACATAAACTTGGTAAGGTCAGTTTTGACTGTCTGCTGCTGAAGATTCACTGGTTGAAGGCTCTTGGCTTTCTGGTGAAGCTTCACCATTTGAAAGTCCTTGGACTGTTTTTCGAGCTTCAATTGTTGAAGGTCTTTGGATACCTTGTGAAGCTTCAGTGGTTGAAGGGCCTTGTTTGCTGTTAGTACCAAATAAAAATCGAGTTTAGCTTGCCTCCTGTGTTCATTGGCCTCTCTTGTGATCAGCTTTTTGGTTCTCCTTAAGTACTGATACATGTTTCCAACTTCTGGATTAGTACAATTGGATGAAAAATTAATTAACGTCAACAAACGACACGAGTAAACTGTTTAGTTGTCCATGGTGTTGGTTCCTCATTGTCATCTTCGTCTTCCTCATCAGTAACAGATTGGAGAATCTCTTTTTCTGCTCATCACACCGTATCCTAGACAATCAGCATCTCTTTCTAGCCATTCAACCACATCCTGTCTTTCTAAACTTTCACCAGCATTTCTGAACATTCTATAGATTTCATCTATAAATCCTTCAAAATTCATATCTACTTCTTCCTCTTCATTTACTGTGGCTGTTAGGATTTTCTTCCAGGAATTCTTCAAAGTCGATTCCTTTACTTCACTCCACACTTTGGTCCAGTTATAAATTGCCTCCATGATGGAAGAGTTTTCCAAATTCTCAAGTTCTTTTTTTTTTGTCTTGGTATCCCTGCCAAGTTCCTCATTTTTGTTTTGCCTCAAGCGGCAAAAGCATCAAAACTTCTTTGAGCATTTCATTGTACAACTTCTTTGTGGCAAAGATAACACCCTGGTCCATAGGCTAGATAAGAGAGGTGGTATTAGGAGGAAGTGTCATACATATTATCTTGCCATCATGTGAGGTTAAGGTGTTGATACTGGGGTAGACAGGTGCATTATTATCAAGCAACAGCAAAGCCCGAACTTCACTTGGCCTCACTTAGTGTTTCTTAATTTGATGGTCATGATCTTTCTTGCAAAACACACCATGAAACCAAATGAGAAAGGTCTCCTGTGATTTAGGTCTCCTGTGTAAATCATGCATTCATGCAGGGAACAATGTTTGCATTGATGAACTGTGCTGATCTCTTTGGATATGAATGGTAAACAGATCTCTCATATTGGGATTGACATCCTAAACATCTATGGAAAACAATAAATATGTAAAAGATAATGTAAAGGATTAAAAGGAACAAAATGTAATAATTGCAGTGGCACCAGTACATTACAGAAAACAATAACACACCAGCCTGTGCATATTCTTGGATGTGAGGAAGAGCAGAAGGTGTGAGCTCTGGCTGGGAGTTGGTGTGAGTGATATCTCTTGAATGAAAGTGATCTGAGCATATCCACAACTGAGGTCTTTCATTTCTTCCAGATATATACTCACTCAGAAGCTTCAGCCAAACAGCACGTCTGCAAAAATATTAGTGTGTATATGAAGGTTAAGTTGCTTTTCCTGAATGTAACAGTCTCAAATTAAAATGATGACTTACATACTTCAGTCTATACTAAGGGAACTAACATAGATATGTGGCCTTAAGTGCTAGTAGTGACCGGTATAAGCGAAGTGTTGTCAACATCTATGTTAATCATGCTCTTACACACAGCTCCAGTTGGAAGTAGGTTTACAAAGAACTCAATAGAGTAAGGCAGGGCCTTGTCAACAACAGATACTGTAATGATTATGTCGAAAAGGTCATTAATAAAATGAAGGTGAGCCACCATGCTACCTCTGATGAAAAGATCAAAACTAAAGAATCTGTCCAACCTATTAAACTCTTCAACAGGAACTCTAATATTACATAATGTGTCATCATTTGCATGCAGTACCCGTGGTGTGGTGGTAAAGCACTCGCCTGACATCGTTGTCACCACTAAATCAACAACACTCGCCCGATATTTCGCGAGCACTTTGGCCTGGGTTCGTATCCTGGCCGGGAAGGATTGACTGGGTGCTAATCCTTAATTGCAGCCTCTGTTCACCAAGCAGTGAATGAGTGCCTGTTGTTAAACGATTTGGCGAGTCGTATTCTGGGGAAAATTAGGATTAAGGACCTGCCCGAAACGCTAAGCGTGCTAGTGGCTTTACAAGAATGTAAGAACTCTATGTTGCAAGATCAATTCATTACTAAACTATGTTTTCACCAATCCAAACGTTACCTATCTGGATCCTCAGGCACTGAGAAATATATAACGCCAGTCCTGAAGGTGTAGTTCTTACAGTTCTTGATGCAGCATCCTCTACTCCCTTCACTCTCCAACTCCGCCAGACTTGCTAATATCGCTTCTTCCTCCGACCCATCCATATTAAGACTGTTGCAGATACTTCTTCTTGATAGCAGGTGCAGTTTGCATGAAGGGTTTGTCCTCCCGATGACTGCTTTGCAGATACCCTTGACCACCAGCTGATGTTGTTGTGGCCGCGGCACCTGATACGCTTCTGCTCCCGGGTCACGCTGCCGTTCTCTATGGTAAGCAGCGTGCTGCTTTGACAAAATCATATTTACAGTAGGAAATGTATATGTTTATCTCTCAGAATGTTTGGTAATATGTTTATTGTTTGTGATGTGTGTCTATGTATGTATTAACACGATGTACCGAACGGGGTGATAATAGCTTGAGCTACCTCATCCCTTTGTGTGTATTTTACCTCAATAAACTTATTTCAATTTCAATTTCACATTTACAGTATGCAATGCTTGATGGAAATCACATTTACAGTGTGACATCTTACGGAAACCTCGTCTACAACATATGCTGCCTCATGGAGACTTCACCGACAATGTAAAAGCGTTGTGGGTATTATGGGCCTTAGGTATTGTATGTACTAGCTCTATCTATAAATCCAACATTATGTTTGGAACGCATCTTCTATGTATAAACTTTTACCTGAATAAACATTTTGATTTTGATGTGTGGCACCTTACGGAGACCCTCACCTATAACGTAAAGTAAAGACAATAGGCTTTATCCAATTCCCTGAAAATATGTTGCTATTTCTATCAGCTGTTTTCCACCCTTGCCCATGGGTAACTTCCCTTACACTATTTCTTGCGTCAACAACAGGATATAGGTAGTGTCACTACCACTTCCGTTGTCAACAACAGAACACGTAGCGTCACTACCACTCCCGTTGTCAACAACAGTCTCCGTGGTGTAGTGTAGTGGTGTAGTAAGACACTCGCCTGGCGTTCCGCGAGCGCTATGTCATGGGTTCGTATCCTGGCCGGGGAGGATTTACTGGGCGCAAATCCTTAACTGTAGCCTCTGTTTAACGCAACAGTAAAATGTGTACTTGGATGAAAAAACGATTCTTCGCGGCAGGGGATCGTATTCCAGGGACCATAGGATTTAGGACTTGCCCGAAACGCTACGCGTACTAGTGGCTGTACAAGAATGTAACAACTCTTGTATATATCTCAAAAAAAAAAAAATCTCAAAACAGGACACGTAGCATCGCTACCACTCCCGTTGTCAACAACAGGACATGTAGCGTCACTACCACTCCCGTTGTCAACAACAGGACATGTAGCCTCACTACCACTCCCGTTGTCAACAACAGGACACGTAGCGTCACTACCACTCCCGTTGTCAACAACAGGGCACGTAACTTCACTACCACTCCCGTTGTCAACAACAGGGCACGTAACTTCACTACCACTCCCGTTGTCAACAACAGGACACGTAACTTCACTACCACTCCCGTTGTCAACAACAGGGCACGTAACTTCACTACCGCTCCCGTTGTCAACAACAGGACACGTAACTTCACTACCGCTCCCGTTGTCAACAACAGGGCACGTAACTTCACTACCGCTCCCGTTGTCAACAACAGGGCACGTAACTTCACTACCACTCCCGTTGTCAACAACAGGGCACGTAACTTCACTACCGCTCCCGTTGTCAACAACAGGGCACGTAACTTCACTACCACTCCCGTTGTCAACAATAGGACACATAGCGTCACTACAACTCCCGTTGTCAACAACAGGGCACGTAACTTCACTACCGCTCCCGTTGTCAACAACAGGGCACGTAACTTCACTACCGCTCCCGTTGTCAACAACAGGACACATAGCGTCACTACCACTCCCGTTGTCAACAACAGGACATGTAGCGTCACTACCACTCCCGTTGTCAACAACAGGACACGTAGCTTCACTACCGCTCCCGTTGTCAACAACAGGACACGTAGCGTCATTACCACTCCCGTTGTCAACAACAGGACACGTAGCTTCACTACCGCTCCCGTTGTTAACAACAGGACACGTAGCTTCACTACCGCTCCCGTTGTCAACAACAGGACACGTAGCGTCACTACCACTCCCGTTGTTAACAACAGGGCACGTAACTTCACTACCACTCCCGTTGTCAACAACAGGACACGCAGCGTCACTACCACTCCCGTTGTCAACAACAGGGCACGTAACTTCACTACCGCTCCCGTTGTCAACAACAGGACACGTAGCGTCACTACCACTCCCGTTGTCAACAACAGGACACGTAGCGTCACTACCACTCCCGTTGTCAACAACAGGACACGTAGCGTCACTACCACTCCCGTTGTCAACAACAGGACAAATAGCGTCACTACAACTCCCGTTGTCAACAACAGGACACATAGCTTTACTACCACTCTTGTTAACAACAGGATATGTAGCGTCACTACCACTAACGTTGTCAACAACAGGACACGTAGCGTCACTACCACTCCCGTTGTCAACAACAGGACATATAGCGTCACTACCACTCCCGTTGTCAACAACAGGACACGTAGCGTCACTACCACTCCCGTTGTCAACAACAGGACATATAGCGTCACTACCACTCCCGTTGTCAACAACAGGACACGTAGCGTCACTACCACTCCCGTTGTCAACAACAGGGAGTGCTATACTGTATAATCGTGTTGGCTTGGCGCTTTCTCTTGATTGTCCCCCTCCCTTCCCGTTGACAATAACCATGAATCCTCACCATGAAGTTCTACTCCAGCTCCTGGTCCGCTCTTTCTGTTATAAAGAAACTCAAAACGTAAATTACCAAAAGGACCAACTAAGCCTAGAGGATCACCACTACTATGCGGCCCAGGTCCACCTAGTGACACTCTCCTGGACGACTTTACTGGCAGTTATATGAATTACAACACTATTAATTATTTCTAACTAAACACTATTGCAGCCTAACTAAACACTATTACCGCCTAACTAAATAAATTGTATCACGGATATAAGCATCAGGTTAGGTTTTCTAACGACAGTTATGTATAAAACCTACAAGGAACAATGGGGCATAAGGAACGAGCATCAAGAGAGGTGTCCGTCCCTCTTTACCGGGTCGGCGGTCAATTGTTCGTATCTGTACGGCTAGAAGGCCAACGAGTTTATTTCGTGGTGGACAGCGGCTCACGCGACACCCTCGTCACGGTTCCCTTTATGTAGGAACATGGCTTGGAGGCCGTAATGGGCAAGGATTTTAAGCGTTTAGATAAAATGGAGTCCATAGACATAAATGATAACGAGTGGAAGTCAATGGACTTCTCAAACTTCTACACGGGGGTCCTGAAAGCTAAACCTTATTTCCGGAAAGCACATTTATCCCTGGATGCAGAGATCTATGTTGCTGATTTACCTGTACATTATGCCTTACTGGGCATGGATATTTTAGTTGCACATAACTGCTCAATAATTAATGACCTGACAAATCCCCGACTAATAATACGGCCAGTGAAGAAGCACAAGCTGGAGGATAACACGAAGTACTTTGTCACAAACTACGATACCATCAGACTCAAAACCAAAATCAACGGCAAGAGATCTACGGCTTTTCTGGACACTGGCTCGCCCATAACAAGCATCAGCAGACGTCGTGCCAGAAAACTGGGCCTTAAAATTGAATCGTGTGCAATGAAAGAAGTGGAAAATTTACACGGAAAAATATTAAGAACAAAACACGTTATTCGGAACGCAGAAATAAAATTCCAAGGTCTTACATTCCACACAGATGTGTACATCCTGCAGTCTTATGACGAGGAATACATAATCGGAGATGATATCCTCCAATACACCAATATAACTTTCGCAGCAGAAAAAGCTGTCTTGGAGCGCAACAGCAACCCTTATCCTCACCAGGGATGAAGCTCTATCCGGTGTTAGGCCGATCACCGGATGCATTGATAGACCTGTAACCAAAGAAAAAGTCCATTCCGAACAGAAAGAACACACAGGCCATCGACTTGAGCAACATAAACAGTGATGAAGTTAGACCTAAAAAGTCACTAAGTGAATGGTAAAGTTGTTCACCAGAGTAATGAGAGGATCTTGTAAACACCTCCACAGACCTGTGTCGCGTCTCTGGAACACTCCTCAATATGCTCCAAGGTCCTTTGTTTACTTTTGGCCTTCCCGGCATGGCGCCTTCTTTTGATAATTATTTACTTGTGTTTCCATATAATAAAGTGTATTTTCTGTAGTTTTCTGTAAGAGTATTATTCTGTAAAACGAAAAATTTCTGTATAATAAATTATAGTATTATAATTATAATAATATAATAAAGAGCTATATAGTCATCTTGACTTTGTACTTTCCCCCTTATAATTCCTGTTCCTGTATAATAATACTTGTATATTATAATATTATTATAATAAAGAATTGACAAAAAGTTGACGTACAACTTCGTGGTTGTTAACAACAGGAGTGTAATGAAGCTACGTGTCCTGTTGTTAACAACGGGAGTGGTAGTGACGCTACGTATCCTGTTGTTAACAACGGGAGCGGTAGTGACGCTACGTGTCCTGTTGTTGACAACGGGAGTGGTAGTGACGCTACGTATCCTGTTGTTAACAACGGGAGTGGTACAGTGATGAGCTTTATGTGTGTGTGTGTGTGTGTGTGTGTGTGGTGTGTGTGTGTGTGTGTGTGCGTGCGTGCGTGTGTGTGTGTGTGTGTGTGTGCGTGCGTGCGTGTGTGTGTGTGTGTGTGTGTGTGTGTGTGTGTGCGTGCGTGTGTGTGTGTGTGTGCGCGTGTGTGTGTGTGTGTGTGTGTGTGTGTGTGTGTGTGTGTGTGTGTGTGTGTGTGTGTGTGTGTGTGTGTGTGTGTGTGTGTGTGTGTGTGTGTGTGCTGTGGGAGTGTTGGGGACAGAATTCACATTATTTTGAATATAAAACATTATCGCATCGAAAATGAAAACCGTTTTATCACAAATTCATGTAACAAAAAAGGCAAATATTATACACACGAGTATCGATAATGATTGGTTTAGTTGGAGGGTCCTGAGTTGAGGTTGATCATGCCTTTTTATTTACCTGAATAAACCGTTTGATTTTGATGCATGTACAGCCATGGCTGAGTGGGCTCTGGTGCCCTCTTCACACTATACAGGACCCGCTCAATATACAAGGGTCCTGTATAGTGAAGTATTACTATACAAGGACATATTAG